CAGGGGCCAGTGCCCCTGTAGCACTGATTCTGCCCCCCCCCCCACCCACCAGTTGACGATGCCAAAGGTGGAACTAAAGTGCTTGGCTTAACATTGTAGTCGGACCTTTTAATGCGCTGCACCACTGAAAAAAGAAGCAGAGAAGTAGTCCCAAGATTACCACGACGAGTGATGTCATATTGTCAAGGTAAGACCACAACACAAAAGCAAGCAAGCCCGTAACAGATGAAGATCCTGAGAATGAGGAAGCTGAGACTGAGACTGTCTGCGTGTGTGCATGCGTGCGTGTGTGTGTGTGTGCGAGTGTACGCACGCGCGCTCGTGTATGTGTTTGTGTAACTTCTTTTAATATCCCTTTTTATTTTTTAATGTTTATTTAACAGGAACAATATACAAGACATTGCCTTTTAAAATTAGGACAATTAGATGCATGTAAAACATTTAGCTTCAGTGTATTTGCAATTTTAGTCCCTGGTCAGGCTTAAGAATGTATTAATTTAAATGTACTGAATACAATAAATGAATGAATTAATAATAATAATAATAATACATTACATTTATAAGCGCCTTTCAAAACACTCATGAATGCAATTAATAAATAGCCTTCATTAATACGTTGTAGACAATTATGTGTATCTATTTTCCTTCAACAGTATAAGTGTAGCAGGTTAGTGTGTATGCTGTGTCCATGCAAAAATGATGTTTACATCTATTGGGTTTGTCTTTCTCCACAGACATCAGCAAATGTAAAGAAGACCCGCCAATGCACAACGGAGTTTTTCCACATTAAATTTTGTGAAAACATACCTCATGTCCACTATGAATGATGATAGATTAAGCAATCTTCGTGAATTTAGCATTGAGTCTAGGAGGTCAAAAGCATTGAATCTTGAATCACTTCGGACGGTTTGCCAGAAATCACCAACATCGCAGAATGCAGTTGTGTATAATGTTATGTATAATGCAGCTTAAGACTGTTCTACAAGATCTGCACCGATATGAATCTTTTATCAGCACTTAATTCAGTACTACTGTGATTATTATACTGTTTTTCATCGGCACTGTAATGCTCCTCTGCCGTCCTCCTCTGCCGTCCTCCTCTGCCGTCCTCCTCTGCCGTCCTCCTCCGCCCTCGGTTTTTACTCGGCCCGTGGTGTTCATCAAATTGTTCGCTTTATTTTTACGATACATCAATGGATGCTATTTTCTTAACATTACGATGCGAGCACGCGACTGTAACACAGAAAACGCGGTTTAAACTGTTGTCCGAGATCGCGGCCGCCGCCATGTTTCAATGTTATTGACAGACGACAGGGCAAACGACGCACGCCCTCAACGTGAATTTCGCGAGAGTTTGCACTGATGTAAACCCTCTACACAAAAATGTAGAGGGTTGTTTGAAAAAAATGCCGACCGTAAAGTTTTTTTTCGACGTAGAAATTCTCGGTCGGTCGGGTTACCGGAAACACACTACTTTTTTTTCTACGCCTTATGTCTGCAAAGGTTTAAAAGTTTGATGAAAATAAAAAGTCAAATAAGATTTTGAATCGTTGTCTGTTTTGCCTGGGTTGAATGTGCCCCTTTATCAAAACCGCTGGCCCCAGCCAGGCCCCCTCAGTGAAATTGATCTCTAACGCCACTGCATGAAGCCACCATGTAGCTCCGCCCCTTCCTTAATGGCAAGCTGACGTTTTCAAAAGCATGATCAGTGTTTCAGATTTTAGTATGTCATTGAATATACACATTGCAGACATTGACTGATGCAGTGCAGTTCTACACTACAATGACATGTAGAAAGTAACTTATTATTACTCACATTCCTTCTGGTCAATTTACAGTCATTGTTTAACTGTACAGTACATGCATGTTTTGCGAATGTTGTGAGAACAGCGGGAGGAAAGCAGCGTATCGAGAGAAAAATGATAAGAATCAATGTGTTGTTATGTGTCAATGTAAACGGGGCACTAATGTACTAATATAAGGCAAAATGAATCGTCCTATGTGTAATTGTCATTATGGTATTGCAGGTTTCCCCAGTGAAGTGACCTGTGGTTACAAAGCTTTAATTTCAAAGATTGTTATTAACGTTCAGTGATGGCTGAAAGCCAAATTTGGACAACTGCGTCACTTTAACGGTAGTATCCATTAAAATGAAGCCTACTGTATGTTATTCCATTGGGAAATGAAAACGCAAGCCTGTATCCTCACATTCTGAGAACCCCAACAACATATATACTAAATACACTGCTGGTTTCCTTTTGTAAACAACCATCACGTCTGTTTCCTTTGACATTGAGCGTGTTCGTCCGTGTATTTTAGACATTGATTATCTGTATGAAGGAGAGGCGTTGCTGCTGCCTTCTGTCCGCCATTTTTCGGAAAGCCGTGACAACGCCAAGAGTGTCTGCTGGAAGGACAGCACCATCTTCTTGTTTGTGACTGAATAACACTTCTGACAACTGGGTCTGCATGTCAAAATAGTCCACGGACTTTCTTTTTTGTGTACCCCTCGGTTTCTGAAAAATAAATAATAATAATAAAATTACCCAATGGAATTCAAAAGACATTGCTTTTGAATTGTGATTCAGGAGAATTATTTAAAAAACAAACAAACAAATGAAACAGGCCGAACAAAAATTATGGTTATAATTAACTGGGCCCCCTCCCCCCCTTCCCCCACAACCTTTTGAAAAAACAACTACAAATGATTTTTATAATGCTAAATCTGACTTCTATATCTCTCAGCGGGTATTTTGGCCCACTCTTCATGAGCAAACTGATGCAGTTGTCGAAGATTTGAAGGGTGGCTTCTCCAGGCGGCATGTTTCACCTCTTCAAGATGTTCAATAGGATTTAGATCAGGGCTCGTGGAAGGCACTCTGGTTTCCTCCCATAATTCCAAAAACATGTGTGGCAGGTTAATGAAAGACTCTAAATCAGGGGTGTCCAAAGTCGGTCCTCAAGGGCCGCTGTCCTGCCTGTTTTCCGGCTCTCCCAGGAGCAACACACCTGATTCAAATAATCAGGAATGTTCTAATGCTGCTTCAGAGCTGGCTGATGAGCTGATCATCTGAATCAGGTGTGTTGCAGTCGAGAGAGATGGAAAACAGGCAGGACGGTGGCCCTCCAGGCCCGGAGCTGGACATGCCTGCTCTAAATGGTCCCTCGGTGTGAGTGCGAGCGCTGATGGTTGTTCGTCTACGTGTGTCCTGCGGTTGGCTTGCAACCAGTTCAGGGTTTATGACACCTACTACTATGACAGCTGGGACCCTTTTGAGGATAAGCGGATTAAAAAATGGATGGATGGATGTATGGTTATTATTAATTCATTTTAGTTTTTCTTTCATTAGATGGGAAGTCAGATTTTAAAAAATAAAGTAATACTTTATATCCTATGCACACCCACTAGTCCAAACACAGTATTCCGATTAATATTGTGTTTGTGGAATATGAATTAAGCAGAAAAATCCACCTTTTTTATCTATTTAAGGGGCTTTCATTTTGCCTTGTACTGCCACACTTACTGTCAACTGAAAATGACATCATAGTGCCTGAGTGCTCTGTTTGCTAATGTCACAGCTGTATTTGGCTTTGGTGATTTGCAATTTGTTTGTTTATATGTTAACTGAATGAATCCAATAACTGTGGTATCTCTTGACCATTTCTATTAGTAACTGCATCCAGAGTATGGTGGATGTGCTTGTGAGAGGATGATAGTACCAGCGAGCAGCGACTTTTCCCATCCTGCTGAGTCACTGTCAGCCCACGCGCCGCCCCACCTCTTCAAATGGCGCTTGTGTCACCACCACTCCCTGCAAAGCGGCTAGGTGCAACACTGCATACTGTCTTTGATTGTTATTCCCTTTGCTTTAGTGGGCCAACAGATCTATTATAGACCTAATGCCTTCCAACCAACAAAAGTGATGAACTAAATCCACATTATATTGTGTCTACCTTATATGAATGACCGCATGAGTGGATGCGTAAGAATACCGGTAATCAAAAATGAAAGTAGGAATACTCCAACATGATGACTGCATTAAAAGTGTCTAAGTGAGAAGATTATTTGGGGATGTGGGGAAACAATGATGGACCAAAGAGTGTGTGGTACCACCTATTGGATAAATTGCATAGAATCATAAATAAAACGTATGGTGACAAGTACGGTTGATAATATAAGGTACTGTACATTGGAAATATTGTTTAAAAGTTATTTCTAGTGACTTCGCATTGGCTCATCCTCATTGTATCGAGGTGGCAAGGCTGCAGGCTGTGTGTGAGTGCAGGGGTGTGGTCTCATCTCAAAACCAGCCTGGAGAAGCACCAAGGCCAGAAACAGATCGAGACATCACTTCAATGTCATCGGATGACTGAATATTATAGATGCCGTGACCTTGGGGTGACAATCAAGAATGAATTGTTTTGTGACACTTCGTGTAGACACTCGCCGCACTTAAATGGTATAATCCTGCGAGAGAGAAATGTTAGTTGACGTTAATTAATAACCACAATTTTCCAAACCGCTTATCTTCACAACGGTCACAGGCGTGCTGGAGCCTATCCCGGCTGTCATCGGGTTGCAGGCAGGATACACTCCAATTGCAGTAATTAATAATCAAGTAACGACTGGTAAAAATCAAGCAACAATCAAATCCTTGGCGGTAAGCTACATCCCCTCTTAAGCAGAAACACATATGCAAGTTTTCACGTTCTAGGGAGTGTGAGAGCATATCATAAAAGTGTTAGTCTCAATGCAGAGGTGGGGATAGGAAGGGGTGGGGGCAGACTGCAGTATAACAAAACGCACCCCGGCAAACAGCTGTGGGCCCCACATCGATCCCATTTCTGCAATGACAGCGGATAAAAGAACAATAAGCACTCCAGGGATGTCAAATCTCCTGGTGGCAATGAGAAAATCCTTTATTTTATTTTTTTTGTCATCACCTGCTTGCAATGACATGTCGTCACGTTGAGAGTGAATTTTAGATGGACACACGTGTCCCAAGTGTTTTGTTTTGTCGAGTTGCATGTCGATGCTTGGGTGACACTACAGCAAAGAGACGCTGAATGAGTGAATTCTTGTCTCCCAAGAGGGTTGAGGAATCTGCATGGGATAGCAGGTCCCCTCCCAAATCGCTGCCCCCGCATCCATCCATCCCCTCTACCGTTGTTTCTGCGTCAGATGATGCGCAGGCGCCCCTCCCTATAAAAGTACCTGCGTGGAACTCGATCACTGCACGCACACCGCGCTTGGACTCACTTTGTGTCTCACACTCGCTCCACTTTTACGGCTCGGCACACACCAGCAAGTGGCAAAGAAAACATGAGCTACTCAAGTGAAATGTATAGCAGCAGTTCCTATCGGAAGATATTCGGCGATGCCCCGCGTGCCGGGCGTGCGGGGATGATCAGTAGCATCAGCAGCAGCCCGTCCCGTGTGCACTCCTCGGGGTACCGCAGTCGCACCTATGGCTCCCCCACGGTCATCTCGTCCAGCAGCTACCGCAGGAGCGCCGCGCCCGGTCGCGTCTTCTCCTCCTCCATGCAGGACTCCATGGTGGACCTGAGCCAGTCCACGGCGGTCACCAACGAACTCAAGATCATCCGAACCAACGAGAAGGAACAACTGCAGGGGCTCAACGACCGCTTCGTGTCCTTCATCGAGAAAGTGCACAACCTGGAGCAGCAGAACAAAGTTCTCGAGGCGGAGGTGACGTTGCTGCGGCAACGCAACAGCGAGCCGTCGCGCCTTCACGAGCTCTACGAGCAGGAGATCCGTGAGCTCCGCGCGCGCGTCGAGGAGCTGACCCACGAGAAGAACCAGATGCACCTGGACTGCGTCCAGATGAACGAGGCTCTGGAGCGCCTGCGGGAGAAGCTCGACGAGGAGACCAGGCTGCGGGAGGAGGCGGAGAACACCTTGAAGGGCTACCGCAAGGACGTGGACGACGCCACCTTGGCGCGCCTGGAGCTCGAGAAGAAAGTCGAGTCGCTGCTGGATGAGATCGCTTTCCTGAGGAAAGTTCACGAGGAGGAGCTGCAAGAGATGCAGTCGTCCCTGCAGGCCACGCAGGTAAGCGAAGCCTTACGTGTCCCGCCTATACTTGGGTACATTACAGTTTACAAACTTTACGAGCTCGACATAAAGCACAATACAGTATTGTGCTACACGGCAGTAGTGCACCACAATGGCACTGCAGCTCTGCTGCGTATTGCATTTTAATATTGTACAGATGCTACATTAGCTAATATTGTACCATGCTGGAATGTAAATAAACCACCCAGCCGTTTTTTTTAATCGCGATTTGACGCATTCTGCCTTATTGAATTAATGCGCACTCAAGCAACCTTATGGTAGGCTACGGCAGTTCACTATATTTCAGATCCGTGGTCCCACCCTTTTTACAAGCTCTTATGACCGGTGACAACTTTCAGATGTAGAACCTCATCTGTCTAGCTGTCTATCCCGTACACATACAATACAAAAACAGTCACAGCACTGGCAGAGTTGTATTCATGAAAAAAATGGTGTACTCGAGAAGTGAATCCTACATTACTGAGCAATACAGAAAGACATTTTAACTTGTGATTGTATTGATAGTTCTAAGGCAGGGATGTCAAATTCATTTTGTCACGGGCCAGATTTTAGTGACAGTTTCCCTTTGAGGGTCTTTATGACTGAAATCAGGGGTTTGGTAACAACAAAATGCTGAAAGTATCACTCGTATTTATTGCAAATGAGAATTTGAAATGTTGGTCAGGATTTTAGCAAGCATCATGAAAGTTACCATCTTTGATTTGGTTTCGAGGGCCACATAAAATGATGTGGCGGGCCAGATCTGGCCCCCAGGCCTTGGGTTTGACACCTGTGTTCTAAGGGAACAAATCAGTTACATTTGAGAAGAGGGGAGTGAGGGGGTGGGGGAGGGGGGGTTGAAAAATGCGCAGAAATAACGCATCATTGAAGGGTGTGGTCTCCCCGAGGCGCAGTGGTCAGGACAGGCCCCCTGACTTGCTCTTCACAACTTCTGAAAAAGGAGCTATTCTACTAGCAGCACAGTAATAAACATAAAAAAAACAAGGTTTCACTGCAGCAATAAATTCAAAATATATAATTTACTCCCACTTCTAATCTGTTATTCATACTTCTGTACAGTATTGTACAATCAGGTTTAAAGCAAGGAAAATTCAAGACCTCTGTGAGTTAACGTAACTTATAGTGGAGTCAATATAGTGAGAGATGGTTGTTGCAGGTTGATTTCTCCAGGGTATTGCCATTTCACCGTAAGCAGTTTTTCACCATGTAAGCTTGTGACTGCACAGCAGAAGCTCGAGTCAGCAGTTAAGCATTCAATTCAGGCCTCCAACAATCCACCTCATAAGTGCATAGATCAAATGCACATTCACTGGCCAGTTAGGCGCATCTTAATGATTTTGATGAAGCAATGCAACACAAGCACCATCAACTAGACCAGTGTTTCTTAACCTGGGTTCGATCGAACCCCAGGAGTTCTGTGAGTCGGTCTCAGGGATTCGACGGAGCCTCTGCCATGGAGGGTAGGACAGACGCGACTCAAAATGTTAATTAGTTATAACACGCCCGCTTGGCCATCACTGGCTGCAGATGAACACATGACATTGCACGTCCAATCAGTGCTGTGGGGAATTTAGTTCGCTTTGTATTCAACGTGTGACTATCGTGATAGTGCGTCGTACAATTAAAAAAACTATATATATATATTTTTTTTTTTTTTTATCACTCATGAAGGGTTCGGTGAATGTGCAGATTAACTGGTAGGGTTCAGTACCTCTAAAAAGGTGAAGAACCACTGAACTAGACTACACTTACTCCCTCCAAAATTGCAATTATAAAATCCATATCTAAAATGCCTTTGAAAACCAAACAGTAGAATCCCTGAACCCTCTTCTGTCCAGGTGTCAGTGGAGATGGACATGAGCAAACCGGACCTGGCTGCAGCCCTGAAGGACATCAGGGCTCAGTATGAGAACCTGTCATGTAGGAACCAAGCCCAGGCAGAGGAATGGTATCGTTCCAAGTTTGCAACGGTGACCGAGGCCGCTGCTCGCAACCAGGATGCCATCAAGCACTCCAAGGAGGAGCTGACCGAGTACCGCAGGCAGGTGCAAGCCCGCACCCTGGAGATTGAGGCCCTCAGGGGCCATAATGAGGCCCTCGAGCGGCAGATTGCTGAGATGGAGGATCGTCACAACAATGAAATTGGAGACATGCAGGTAGGAGGGAAGACAGGAAGTATTTAACGATTCAGACTACAATTCACAAAATACGAACACTGAATGCAGGTCTTAGCTGCTATATGGATGATCACCTCCTTCGATGTTTCGCTTGACCATATGCCAATGCATGTGTTTATAGGATACCATTCAGCAGCTGGAGGCTGCACTGCGCAGCACCAAAGGAGAAATGTCCCGTCACCTGCGCGAATACCAGGATCTGCTCAATGTCAAAATGGCACTTGACATTGAAATAGCCGCTTACAGGTTTGAAACATTCCTAACAATACCGCCATTGTTAGTAGCAGTGTCGCCTATCGTGCAACAATCAATTCCGTTTGTAGCAAAGCGGAGTCAGGAGGCTTGATAGTCAACTCATCTAGATGTAGAGTTCACTGTAAATAAATAAATAACTTATTTTTGGGGGCCTGAAATATTTAATTTAAGTTGCAAAAACTTTAGAATATAAATTACCGGTACTGACATTTATGGCAGCAAGGTGTTGTGAGTTATATCTTTAAATTGGCATTCAATTAAAGTTATGTAAACTCTCCTCTCTTTGTTGCATAAAAGACAATTTTCAGAAAAGTATTCAGTTGCGTTGCCCAACTTAAAATGTTACCAACGTTTGCTGCCTTAAAATTTGGAGTTAACCCAACATTATTATTTTTATTATTATTTTTACAGTGTATGTGCATATTCACAATCTAAATATTTCAGGCCACTTTTATCTCCACAGGGACAGTTCACAGTTGAAGTTATTTCAAGTAACTTTACACATTGAAGAAACCTCAAACAAAAGCTCGGCACTATGACGTTACCGTCTGCCTTGGCCAGCTGGTTTGAGCGGGGCAGAATGGGGTGGGGGTAGGGGGGGGGCAAAGATAGCTAGAGGGAGAAAACAGGATGGAGAAGTGGGAGAACAATGGGCACAACAACAGCTATATCAACAGCAATAATAGTCCTATGATGACAGCTGTAAGGCAAGTCTGTGGAATCTTGCAATTCAAATATTTCAGATCATCAAGTTGTGTCACCCCACATTTAAGGTTCCCCTTTTGTCATAATAGTTGCAACAAAGGTGGCGATGTAATCTATTACACTGGTCCTTGGGTGTGTAGGAAACTGCTGGAAGGCGAAGAGTGCCGCCTCAGCTCCGTCGGTGGTGCCATGGTGCAGTCCGGTTACCCCGGCTTCTCCTACATGTCGTCCCGCACGTACACCCTGGGAGCCTACAGGAAGTCCAAACCAGAGGAAGAGGAAGAGGAGGGAGAAGAAGAGGATAAGGAGGACGAGGATGAGGAGAATGAGGAGGAGGGAGAGGATGACGACGAGGGAGCCGACCAGGAGGGAGGTGATGCTGAGGAGGACGAGGACGAGGAAGAGGAGGAGAAGCCAAAAGGGAAGGATGAGAAGGAGAAGAAGAAGGAGAGCCCCACTGAGAAGACCAGCAAGAACTAAACTGCTTGTGTAGTTTCTTCTTCATCATCATCATCATCATTTCTCATTGTTCCTGCTTGTAAGCTATAGTGACGAATTACACACGCACGCACGCACGCTCGCACACACACACACACACACACACACACACACACACACACACACACACACACACACACACACACACACACACACACACACAGCATTCTATTTTTCTGTCGGTTTCGTCTCTTTGCAAGGTGTTCCTGTAAAAGATGATGAATTTAGATGGGGGTAGCTGAATCAGCACATGAATGAGATGCATCTGCACTTGATCAGATCGTATGATGCCGTAAAGAGATCATTTTCTCTACGAAAGCAATTGATGTGCCAATCACGACCATGAAGAAAAATCAAACCCTCAAAATAAAAACTGCACATACTATAGCACACACACTTAAAGACAAATGCACAAAGCATGACACGAAAAGCCAAGTCCAACTTTTACGGTGCTATTAGATTTTGACAGTTAAAAGTTGACGGCCTGGACTTATTATTTATTTATTTATTTTTTTGGCAATAATAACAGTACCAGCTCACTGCGTAACATCAGCTTGTCATTCTGGATTGTAAAGCAGAATGAATTGCTTCCATTTGGGTCCAACCTTGTGTGTCCCACAATTAAAGAAGGATCTTCCTCCCTGTCATCAGTGTCCCGTCCTCATCATGTTATACAATGTGAAAAAAAAAAGTCAGCATTCACCGTCAACCATCCGTAGCCATTTACCTTTTTGTCTTTGCATCCCAATGCCAAAATGCAGCAATGATTGCAACTCATATAGTATACATACGTGCTGGTGTGTTTATTTGCTTGAATGAAGAAGTTGGTCATACCAAACTGTCTCTGTGTGCATATTCAAAAACGAAACAGAGTGAAACACAAACAGCGTGTACAGTTTATCGTTACATGTCATTTTTCAAGTATCTTCCTTCGATTCATTTACCCGCTTCCTTTCTGTTCTTTCCTTCTTTGTGAGAACCAACCGAGTTGAAGTGTGTTTGTCAAAAAAATCATGGCCGTATTTTTGTTGAATGTAGCGTTGTGAGCATGGCTGAGTGGCAGGCAGCTGCCAGTGACACTGACAGCCCTCCACTCAGACTGCAAGTGGCAGATGGTTCATGGTTCGATGGGACGTCCAAGGGCTATTTTCACCTCAACCTTTTATTGTCGTTCTTGTTTTCCTTTTACTCCAATCTGAAGTGTCAGTCACGGCACCGTTCATCATGTCCCACTTGCTTGCGCTACCTTCTCCTTGACAAATGAATGAAACGATGCATGGCCTGATTCTCAGAGCTTGAATCCTGCACCCGTGGTTGGTAATCATTATTTGCTTGTTGTGTGTTCAATTTAAACTTGCCTTAACCATAACTGAAACTATAAACTACAACACGGCCTCACCCGCTGTCGTACCTAACGCTGAGGTAGTAGAGGAGTACCGACACTTTCCCAGTTGATCTGCTTTGTAAATAACTGTGACTGTACATGCTGCTAGCTAATGCAGTGATATTTCTCTCAAAGCCAAATAAAGCCATTTATGATCCAAACATGTCCTGCGACTTTTTTCTCTTCTGGTACGAGCCTCTCTAGAAACACGTACAAAGATGTGTGTTGCATCTTTGCATAAATTGTAGGTGTTAGAAGGAGCCATTTTCATCCCCCCCCCCCAAAGATATTCCTAAAAATTTGCATTATAATCAGATACCACAGACCTGACCTGTCTTTTCTCACCATCTGAACTGCAAAAGAATCGCCCTCAGAACTTGGAACTTTTTGACGACCACCATATTCTCACCATGTAAACTTAAATTTGGTTTCAGGGAAGTGGTAAAAAGTAACAAAACACATACACCAGGGGTGCCTATGACGTCGATCGTGATCGACCGGTAGATCGCGGACTGGCCAAGTCGATCTCGAGGGGTGTAGAGGAGAAAAAAACAAAACAACCATTTGTGTGACTTTGTGCTTGTTAGTAATATATTTTTTGTGTTAATGTACACTACACCCTAATCATTCTATCAGTCTAATTTTCACAAAAAGTATAAAAATAAAATTTAATTAAATAAAGCACATAAATCTTTAACTTACGGTGGTGCGTGACCTGTGTCACCGGAAGTTGTTAGCGCTCAGCAGTCTGCAATTGCAGTTTATGATCTTTTATCGTTATCATTATTCTCATTCAGAGTTTGTTTCATGTACAATTCACCGAGGGCACGGGCAAAGAATAGGAATCTAGAGGTCCGAGGGAAGCACTTTAAAACGGTACGTGTCAGCTACGATAGTTAACAGACTGCAAAAGTGCGTCGCATGCTTCCGTGTCAGGCTGTTGCTCATCATGGCGTGCGTGTGTATGTGCGTGCGTGTGCGCCGTAACGGGTCGATCGTGGGAGGTTGGTTGATCGAAAAGTCGATCTTCAGTCCAAAAGGTTTGGGCACCCCTGACATATACTTTGTTACTGTACTGAAGTTTTCAGATATCTGTAATCTACTCGAGTATTTCTTTTCCTCATGACTTTTTACTTTTATTCCCAGGAATCTCTACTTTCAGTTCCTTACTTTGTCACGATCGTCTTAATTTTCTCAACATCCACAGATGATGACATAAGATAAAAAAGGACAATAGTCAGTCAAACCGTGGTTTAGATTCAGATTGATTGATTGATATAACATGATGAAAAACATGGAGGAAAGGGAACCAAGGGAGGACTAATGACGATGACACAACAGATTATTTTTTCTTCTTCTGAGTACAATCACCATGGATGTAAGCTATACGAGAGGGGAAAAAATATTTTTAATTCCGTTTTCTCCCTTCATTGTGCCAAGTTATGAAAACGGGCGTTGTATAATTAACAATCAATCTATCCTAAACACACTTAGAACTCACATACATTTAACATACACTTATTTGCCAATCTGTTGAACAGGTGGCATACTGCAGCTGTTAGACCTCCTGAAACACATTTTAATTGAAAGTTTAAAATGGCTAACCTTAAGCCCCGACACCACTGAGGGGCGAACAATTGTAACCTTTGGAGAAGGTAGCAAATTGTGAGTTCACACCAGAGTTCGTCAGGGTTCGCAAATGTTTGCCTGTCATTCACCATCAGTTTTAGTGATTTTTCTGGTCGCAAGGAAATTTTGAACAAATATAGGCGAACGTCTGCTGGATGTCTGGCGACTGTTTGGCGAACATTTTAATTGCTAAACATTAATCATATGTCCATTTACACACCATGGTCAGGGGGGCCTGCCTGCCCATGTTTTAACTCTGAGGCGGCAATCGATGCATCTTTGTTGATGGGCCGAGCAGCATGATGGCTTTTGAGTGTCACCATCACCTCATCTCATCACCTGCCTGCCTGCTCTCTTCTTGAGCTGAGGAATGAGCCTGGATCAGATGGATTGCAGTTGCAGCTACCGCCAACACCACCTGTGACAATTTAATCACAGCCATTGTGTGTGTGTGTGTGTGTGTGTGTGTGTGTGTGTGTGTGTGTGTGTGTGTGTGTAAATATAGTTAAGTAAATGAAAAGGGTGGAAAATCTTCTCTAATTGTGCTTGGAATTATTAATAAGGTTAAGCTATAGTGGTGGCACAGTGGACAACCGGTTAGCACACCTGCTTCACAGTGCAGAGGTTGAGGATTTGAATCCGGGCTCCGGCCTTCCTGTGTGGTGTTTGCATGTTCTCAACAGGCCTGCCTGGGGTTTTCTCCGGGTACACTGTTTCCTCACACATTCCAAAAATATGCATGGTAGCTTAATGCAACAGTCTAAATTGGCCCTGGGTATGATATTGAGTTGTTATTCTATGTGTCTGTGATTGGTTGGCAGCCTGCTTCGGGTGTACCCAGCGTGCTGCCCAAAGACGGCTGGGATAGGCTCCATCACGCCCACGACCCAAGTGAGGATAATGGATGGATGGATGGATGGAAGAACCTATAGAGTAGTTTTAGCAGCATAATATTCAGAAAATGACAAGGCAATTGTCAGAGATTTTCACTCGGACAGTTGACAAAAGCCCGAACACAGGAACAGATCGACTTTCACTGCCGGCAGGAGGTGCAGTTCTCCAAGAAGCCACTCAGTGTGCGCTTCCCACTGTCACCCGACCTCTGCAACCTCTGCCGGCCCTTTTATTGATTGTATATGCAAATTACAAGTAATATAACAGAAAAACACTCCCATCTTCATGAACATGCCACACCCCTGGACGGCCCCATTGGGTTGCCCCTTAGACAAAGCATTCTCTTGGTACCAGCACCAACATCCATAAACCAACAGAAACGTAGACATTTTAACAAGCGGTATTTCCATGAACTGACACATCTGTGACCTGGCTCGTGACCCTTTCTCATGATGGAGTGTACAAGCACTCCCTTCCGTCCAAGGTTAAATCTTCGTTTCCAAGTTGTCAGATAACAGGCGCTAGTGTGTCTACTAGTGAGGGTTAAATCTTTCTCTATGAGATACAGTGAGATACCATCTGCTCGGGTTCCTTGATCTCTCTATGCTTCCGTTGTGTGCAAGATGCTCTGAACAAAGCATTTCGAGGTCAATCAAGCATGTAACAAGATGAAACTTTAAAACATGACAACATTGTATTTTTCTATTCCAACAGCAATACAGTGGAACCTTGATTTAATGGTTCCATGCATGGTGTGAGGGATCGTCCGTTAAGGCCTTTGTCTCTTGAGATTTAAGTACTTTGGCTGAGAAAATAATTTTTCAATGTAGAATATCAAATAAACTGCTGAAGATGCTTGACTGAGGCTACACAGATTTTAAGACAGAGCCAGCATTGGTGCACCGTGCCCTCAGTTGGAGCGCCTCGTGCCTCGCAGCGTTTTTGGTGCACAAATTTAAGCAACGCTCTAAGTATCGAACAGTCGCAGTCAAACATCACGCACTCGGATATTATTTCCAACTTCGCCGCGAATGAGCAAGTTACTGAAAGACCCCCTCGCCCCCAATCACAAACACACATTACAGCTGCAGCACAAGCACAGAAACAGGAATAATATTGGAATAGAACGGACACTTATGAACTTAACTTTGTTTTAAATGTAAATCAATCAATCAATCAATTAATCAATCAATAGCTAGGGTTGCTGAAGGTGGGCTCGACAAATTTCTAATGGCCCTCTATAGCCCCCCTAACCCCGGTGCGGCAGCGCACATATTCTGTCCCGCATTTTCAAATTCAAACAATGCCTATAACCTTTTTCACTTATTTCAATGTTCTTCAAAAGTCTTGGAGAAAATTCATGTTCCATGACTTCCAGACGGCCTCCGCAGTCACTGAAAAATGTATCTTTGAACTGTCCGAGTTCATACACAGCTTTCTTACAGTGGGTGTGTGAGACATCAGGGCGGTCGAATGCCCATAAATGAAAAATGCACAAGTCCAGGTGCGATAAAAAAGGACTTCTGCACAGGAAGATAATGTATGCCCTGAGTATGCCCGCAACCCTTGTGAGTATACAGTGGTTCAGGTAATGGATGGATGGATGAATGTCGTAGTCCAGTGGAGTTTCATCTGTTTTGAGAGAGTGTTCAAATCTTCCTGTGTCAATGCATGTGACACCTGGAGAGCAATGACGCAGTTATGGGCCTGCGAAGTGAGGATATTGATGTGAAAGTGAGCAGATTCATTGAAAATTCAGAGGTCGGATCAATGCCATGTCGTAGGCATCTCGTGTGTTGCTTGCTGAAGCAATGCCCTTCATCTGGTGGTGGCGCTTTGTGTGCTTCACTCAGCAGATTTAGTGTTGTGGGGATGCGTTTGCAATCCTCCTCCTCACTGACACTTTGCAATATGATTTTAGGTGACTGAAACTTACTGACTTACTTACTGACCAGTGTCCCAAATGACCTTATGTACTATGTACTGACTTACAAATGGACATTTAGGCACCTGTCTCTAGAACATCCGTCTAGAACACCGGTGTCAAAGTCAAGGCCCGGGGGCCAGATCTGGCCCAGCACATCATTTTATGTGGCCCGCGAAAGCAAATCAATCATGTCAACTTCCATGATTGATGCTTGCTAAAATCTTGCAAAATTTCAAATTCTCATATGTAATAAATAACATTTAAGCATTTTCTTGTGACCAGAGTCCTAATCACAGTCACTTCAACGATAGTTGAATAAACCATTTTTCTTGACTTCTTGATATGGTTTGACAGTCATAATGGCCCTACAAGGGAAATGGTGACTCCAATGTGGCCCACAACAAAAATGACTTTGACACCCCTGTTCTAGAAAGTTTTACAGCATTCAGATTTTCTTAGAAAAAAAATCTCTCTCTCTCTCTCTCTCTCTCTCTCTCTCTCTCTCAATATCTCAATATATATATATATATACATACATACACATATATAGTTAATGTTTACATGACTCTTATTTTGTTTAAGTGTCATCTTCTCTCCACCAACACCCCTCCATCCTTCTGTCTGTCTGTCTCTCTCGCTCTCGCCCTCTACCTCCACTGCTATATATAGACTTCTGCATTGCAGATGTCCCATAGCCCTGCAGAACTGGAGGAGCTACGAAAGAGCCCCTGCCAAAAAAACCTGCTGTTTTTGTCATCCATTGTGCAGAAGTAGGATATCACTAGTCTTGGGCCCACAGCAGAGTGTGAGATTGACTATTCAGTCTGTACTCTGCACAATGTCCACCACGTCACACTGCAGTGAGGATGAGGAGCCACAGTTATACTCACTGCAGTCCGAATCGTGTGTGTGTGTGTGTGTGTGTGTGTGTGTGTGTGTGCGTGTGTGTGTGCGTGTGTGTGTGCGTGTGTGTGTGTGTGTGTGTGTGTGTGTGTGTGTGTGTGTGTGTGTGTGTGCGTATCAAAAGATGGCTATCAACACACAGACTGCAAACAAAGTTAACACTCTGCTTTGCGATTTCAGATAATATTAAATGGATCTGCAGCGTCCGACCCATTCGTGCTCATTTCTGTTTTAACGACCAATTAAGTATTTATAACTAACTGCTGACTGCTGACACACGCCTGCACACAAGCCAAGGCAAACGCTTCTTTGCAGCACTCAACGAACTCTTGCTGCCACTTTGTGGTAAAAATGAAAACTACAGTGGAATGCATTTTTTTTCTTTCCAATTAATTATCAAAACCCTTTCGGAAAAATATGCAAAATCTATCTATCTATCTATCTATCTATCTATCTATCTATCTATCTATCTATCTATCTATCTATATGTGACAGATCGTGCTTCAAGGTCTCAAAGGCATTTTGACACTTGGTGGTCCAGTCCTCCACTGTCAACTTCACATGACTTGAAGGGTGCAATTCAGGCTTCACCCCTCGTATGGCTCTACCACCAGTTCCCTGGCCTGAAAGGAGCTTGAAAAAGGGCTTAGCCTTGATGGAGCAATCTTCAATAAAGTGCTGATAATACAGCACCATCCCCAAGAAAGACCTTGTCTTCTGCGAGGGAGTGAGGCCATCACTGTCCATCAAGTCGGACACCTGCATCCTGTTTATAGCGTCCACAATTCTGGGGTCCGTCTGTACCCCTGACTCTGACATGGCAGACGAACTTCACAGATCTCCAAAGAAAGTGACACTTCTTCGGCACTCGCCCGAGGTTATGATTCTTCAAGCGGGAGAAAACCATCTCCAATCGCTCAAGCGCACTCTGTTCTGTCGGACCAAAGACCATAAGATCGTCAAGATAGCACAAAAGGCTAGTGAAGTTCTTGTCCCCAAAAATGGAAAGCATCATCCGCATGAATGTAGCCGGGCTGTTCGATAAACCTCGTGGCATCCAATTATATTCGTGCAGGCCAAAAGGAGTCGAAAACACAGTGTACTTCTTGTGATCCTCAAACAGAGGCACGTTATAGAATCCTGAGGTGAGGTCCATGGTGGAGAAGAAGACATTTCCACCAAGTGCAGCAAGAGCATCAGCCTGATGGGGGAGTGGGCGAGCATCCCGCTGTGTCCTCGTATTAAGCCACCTGAAATCTGTGCAGATGCACAAATCCCCATTCTTCTTCCACACTAGAACCAATGGAGACGCATATTCACTAGTGGATTTCCGAATTATGCCCTTTTCTTCCATCTCATCTTTTCTTCCAGCCATTCTCAGCTTCTCATATTGACTTGGCAGCACCCTCCGATAAGGCAGGCAGAATGGCCTCTCATGCACCAGGTGTATCTTGTGCACAAAGTCAGAGGCCTCCCCACATTCCATCCTGTTCCATGAAAAGACTGATTCATATCTCCCAATGTTTTGTAAAAGTCTGTCCCTCCACATGTCAGACACAGCACACGCATCCAAGTGCAGATCATGTAGTCCAAGTTGGACCTTGGCCTCACAGCATGCATAACAGATTGGGAGAAAATTTGGATGTTGTCGGGCTCAGACAAGTCCTCAGCAGCAATGCAGGGAAACACATCCGCTAGCATTGTGTTCCTTTTGAACACCACTTGTTCACTAGAGGGGTTGATGACCCTCACTGGGAGCCATCCATAGCCCCACATCGGTGCAATAACCCTGCCAACCAGGATCTTTCTGGATCTGCACCTTGATTGAGTTGGTTCAGTTATAACCGCGCTGCCAACGGACATCGGTGCGGAGGCGGGAAGCTTAGCCCAAACAAGTTGTTCACTCTTTGGTTGTAACATCACACACTGCCGTAACTTCAGCGTGCCAACTTTATCAGGTACAGATCGAGTATCTCTCCATTACATATCGATCTCCATCCGTTTTCTGTTTGAATTGTCTCCCACCCCACAACATTTTGGCATTGGTTCATCGTGTAAGTCTTTTCATTTAAAATTGCTGAACAAGTGGTCAAAATATGTCAAGCCCATTTCTATACATTTCCATTCGACTTTTTTTCCCTCGGTGAATGTTGACTATTTTCTAATGAAGGGAAATGCGTGAAGCATTAGATCAACCTGAAATAGCTCATCGCAAGTCAAAAGAATTATTATGATGTGGATTTACAAATGTCCCTAAGCACTAAGGAGATTTTCCCATGCTCACTTTTCTGTTTTTGAACTTTTTTTATTTTTTTTGTCTTTGTGCTATGCTGTCTTTTACTTTCTGTATCACAATGAGATAGTTTGCAGCGATGGGCATTACGTCCCTGTGATGGAACGGTCCGTCAGCGTCTGATGGTTTGTCAACGAATGACAGTGCAAACATCCATCCATCCATTTTCAACACCGCTTATTCTGAACAGGGTCGCGGGGGAGTTGCTGCAGCCTAACCCAGTAGACTACACCCTGAACTAGTCGCCAGTCAGTCGCAGGGCACTTATAGTGACAAACAATCATGCACACCCACATTCACACCATCACTAAATGGGAATCGATCCCACATACAAATCCGGCATGTATACTGCCCAAAAACAGCTGAGATAGGCTCTAACAGGCCCGGGACCCTCGGATAAGCGGTTGAGATAATGGATGGATGGATGGATGGATAACGGTGAGTTTATGAACTCAGGCTTTTTAAAAATCCAAATGAAAAAAAAATCGAAAAAACATGTAGAGGTCATTGAAAATGAATTCACATTTGGCAATTTTATGGTGCAATAAAATAATTTGTATTAGGTTATAACCTGTAATTACATGGAACTACATCAATAACAAACTTGCAGAATTGTACTCTATTAGGTCATCTAGTCCAGTTTTTAAGTCATCTGCAGACAAAAAAAAGTTCAAATAATTTTAGTTGTTGGCGAGTACAGTAGTCAGGAAGCCGTTGCGGATAATTAAATGAAACGTTTATTTTGAAAAGCGGAAGTAATGTTCCATTTCACTCCCACTTGACTCGGCGGGATTTTAATGTAAACTAAAACCGTGCCGAATCTTAGCCAGAGGCTATCTCAGTGGAACAGAACCTTCGCTGTTTTCTTTGGGCCGTAGTTTGCGAAGATGACAGAACTGAGGCACCGTGGAGCCACAGACACCGAGGCGACGTTACAAAACCAGCCGTCCGAGGACAAGGTAACGTTAGCTTGGACCCGCTCCTGCCCTTTCAATGTGATGCTAGTTAGCCACCTAGCTAATTCATTTTGGACGATGATCGCTTTAATATAGAAAGTCCTGCGTAAATTGGGGAACCCTTTTAACATATGAGGGGGGTTGTATGAAAAGCATATTTATCTTTTAAACCCCGTTTCCTTTTATTTAAATAACAATGTGATCCCGAGTATACTCCACTTTCGTCATCGATCAACAAACAGCAAATTCTAAAGTCAAACCTAATGTAAAATACATTGTACACAATTTTCTGAGATGGAGCGCAGAGCCAAACCCTGCACGGTCTATTCTACATGTCAGCTCTTCGCCAGCGAGCCATACACTTAAGGTCGAGATCGAAATTATCTTTTTTTGATTGTGTTTTTAATTCTGCGTCCACGGTTACTAATTACTTGAGAGGGGGCTGACAGGGTTTGCCTTCCAACCTTCATTTGGCTGCTGCGACACACAACGTTGAAATTTCACTTCAGTGTTCATGCGCAAAGGACGGAAATGGGTTTTGCTGTTGTCAAATTGCGGGTGGATGCTGGAGGGGGCGTGGTGGAATGGCGGATGCAGCGCTGTGATTAAGTCAAAAGCTTTTGCAAACATTTCTCATGCATCAGGAACTCATCACGAGTTACGACCTGTTTAAAAACAAATGGCCATTTGTGAACATATGCTGGACTGTCAAGTATTTATGTGAAAGCTAAGCCAAGGGCACGCTTTTTCCATGGGACTCCCCAGGTCTACAATATTGAACTGTTGTATTTCCCCAACAAAAATGTCAGTTTGAAGAGAGAAAATGAAGTCAGTTTGAAGAGAGATCCGGTTTGGTAAGTCTGTTGCTGAAGTACAAGAGTGCAGTTATTGAAAGCGCCGATCACTGCCAAGCGCTTCTCAGATATTCGCATTCTTTGCATTATTATAAATTTACTACAGCAGCCAAGATAATCAGCTCCTTCCTTGACAATCGCTGTTTGTGTTTGAATTCAGTTGAAATAATTCAGTCGTACTGTCACACCTAAGCATGTTTTAGCAAGTTGGCCATGTCAGCGGGGGTTCATCGCTTGTTCTGCAGGCTTAAGTCGCTAACCGCCTTTCATTTCACGATCGTCCTGTTCAGTTGTGTTCTCTCCCGTTGCTTGGTGTATGGCGGGCCTTATTCTTATCCTTAGGGTCTCAAGCAGGGCTGAAAATCAAATTCAGCTCGATATTGCAGTGCAGTAGAATGCAATTTTTCAATTGCAAAGGCTGCAGTCATCATGAAACGTTAAAGTGATAAAGCCACAGATTAGTTTACATTGTTGTTGTAATCTGACTTTTGACTTGCTCGCTTATGTGTATGCCTCACTTGTTTGGTAGAATGTTTAATTTTCCGTGATATGTGGATGGAATTCAGAATTTTATTACTAATGGACATTCACCAGCTCCAGAGTTCAATCCATTACAGTATTGCCCTAATGTCATCAGTGATACTACTTGTAATGTATCCGGAAAGTATTCACTTTTTCCAAATCTAATTATTTTACAGCTGAAAATGCTTAAATACTTAACTTATACTTTGCTCAATACTTTGTTGATAAGATAAGATAAGATAACCTTTATTTGTCCCACACTAGGGAAATTTGCAGTCTACAGCAGCAAAAAAAAAAAAATGATGCACCTTTGGCAATATTTGCAGCCTCAATTCTTTTTTTAATATGATGCTCCAAGCTTGGAATACCTGTCTTTGGACAGTTTCACACATTCCTCTTTGCACCACCTCTCAAGCTCCATCAGGTTGGATGTTGAGCGTCGGTGGACAGACACTTTCAGATCTCTCCAAAGATGTTTGATTGAATTCAAGTCTAGGCTATGGCTGGCCCACTCAAGGCGATTCACAGAGGTGTCCTGTTGGATGGTAACTCTTCGCCCCAGTCTGAGGCCCTGAGCACTTTGGAACAGGTTTTCGTCCAGGAAGTCTCTGTCCAGTGGCTACGTTTACATGCAGTCCAAAATCAGTTATGGGCCTGTTAGTGAACTTCCATCATTTGCCAGTGACAGAGCCAGTAGTCCGTATTTGTCAGTCTTCAGTATTTCAGGCCGGCCCAGTCCATCAATCCCTCCTCGTTATTTGTAACATGCCTCCTTCAACGCTAAATTACATTTTATCGCCTCACTGCTATTTTAGGACCGTCAATCAAAAAAGGTTTGCCAAGACTTAACAGCACACAATTTTGAGCATTGTGGCAAAGGCTGTAAATGCTTATCAATCTGTGATGGCTTTGGGCAGGGGTGTCAAACTCATTTTTGTCACGGGCCACATTGAAGTGACCGTTTTCCTACGAGGGCCGTTATGACTGTGAAAGTATTTAAAGCAGTCAAGAATAATGGTTGATTGAACGATTGTTTAAGTTACTGTAATGAGGGATTTGGTAACAAGAAAATGCTTACAATATCTGTGTTATTTATTACATATGAGGAGGTGAAATTTTGGTTCAGATTTTAGCAATCAGGGTAGACGTTGGCATGTCTGATTTGTTTTCGCGGGCCACATAAAATTATGTGGAGGGCCAGATCTGGCCCTCGGGCCTTGAGTTTGACACCTGTGGCTTAGGGTTTGTTTTTTTTTGTTTGTTTGTTTTTTTTGGGAATAGATTTGCAAGAATTTCAAAACGAAACTTTTGTTTGTATGTTCTCATGATGACATGTTGCTTATCGAATTTGGAGAAAGAAAATCATTTATATCATTTTGGTATGAAGCTGTAACATAAAATATGGGAAAAGTGAAGCGCTGTGAATATTTTCCTGATGCACTGTACATGCATTACGGTTCATGTAGTATTTATTTACATGGTACTGTAGTGATTGATGCTACAATATATGCTGTGAATCCACTCGTTTCTTTCTTGGCCATGTCACTATGGTGACATCTTGTTGTAGGCAATTCCTAATCTTTGCCCAAATGTCTGTCCATCCGTCTGCCAAAAATCTGATTCATCCTCTAGCAGACTAATTTCCCAATATTTCAAATATGTGAGATGACGCTGATGTTTTAATATACACTGGTGCGATACTGACCCACAAGTATTTAGTGTGGAGAAAGATGAACCAGATGCCATTCCTAATGTTGACACCACGCTGCTACATTTTTAAGGGGATTTTGAGACACTGAACATAGTATGAGTACTATGACGTGTCCTCGTAAGTATTTAGTAACTTATTTTCAAATGGGTAAACTGTGTTTTGATCTCTCGCTCCCTGTCAGAATCAGTGGTTGTCATTGTAAAGTAAATTATATGGTGACTGCAGGTAGGGCAGCGATTCCCGAGAATGACTTCAGGTCTCAATAAAATGTCTGGCTGACCGAAAACGATCTTTTCTCAATCATGGATTGTGTAATTTGATTGATTTTGAAGTACTGTATGTGGTTGACATAATTTCTTTTCCAAACCTTACATACACTCTCATTTGAAAACAAAATCATAATCATTTGTTTTATTTCAGAAGGGCCTACAGTATGTGTGCGTATCACATCTAAGATGTTGCACTAGTCAAGAATGTCATATTCTTTTCTTCTATAAATCTTGGGGAAGAAATATGACATTTGCACAGGAGCTCCAAGTTCCTTGTGGCCTAACAAGAATAATGAAGTGGGAGTACTGGGGGCGGGGCGGAGGTTATGTGAGACGGTGGCCTATTTTTAACTCAAGCATTCTGAAAGAAAAATATTGTCTCCATGGGAACCACCAGATGTACAATAGTTGCTCGGTTGATGTTAATCAAATTCTGTGCATGTTCAATTTGAGCCATTATTCTCAAAGAATGTAATGTAAAAAGTATGTCATGTGAATGGGTGTAGGATTGTGACATTCGCTAGCTGATTCTTGCCTTTTATGTTGCTAGCTGCGCAGCATACTGTCGGTCGACCATCTGTGGTGTGGGGACGACTGAAAGCCTAATTTGGTCACTGCAGCTCAGGGGTCAGTTGGGGTGTGAACAGTTTGCTTTTTCTGTGTTTCTGTGCGTCACACAGAATTGTTCAACTAAAGCGTGAAGATCAGTGACTTTAGACGGCATTCTTCCAGTGTGCAGCTTGCTAAAGATCATTGATGCAGGTCCTAGACGGAGTCTTTTCCAAAGACAAAAGAAAATATACAGTACTTATAATGGCACAGACAACACCAATCATTTGTAATTCCCTACGTACCGAGAGACTCTAGCGCACAGGTGTCAAACTCGAGGTCCGGTGGCCAGCTTGGGGCCGCCAAATTATCTTACATGGCCCAGGAAAGCAAATAAAGTGCGTTTACTTTGTTTCGTGATAATTAGCTTTGTTCTTTTCACATTGGCTTCAGCTCAGTAGCAAAATGTTTTAAAGATTTTTTTTTTCCATCAATCCAATTGTCATATGTCATCAATCCAATTGTCATATGTTTCACTTCAATATTTGGTTGCCTAATTTAGAATTCAGTGTGTTGTTCAAAAATGCACAGTAAACAATAACAATCAACAACATTATTCTGATTGTTTTTCATAGCCACTTATTGCTAAGCAGAACATATGGAACACATTGACTTGTCTCCCAAAGCCCAAGTGAAAAATGCCACATTCCAGCCCATTGGGCTGTTTGAATGGCAAGTTTTCGACTGAGCAATGTGCCCCTGCACAGAGAGCCTCTCGGCACAGCAAGTCAAGGATTGTTTTTTTTAGTCAGTGTTGCCAAAATTTGGCTATATTGACTAAGTAGTATAACAATGAAACATGATTGTATTTTATTTCAAATATTACTGTATTCATAATTTTATAGCTGCATAGCAGTTATATTGGGGCAGTGCTGCTACCCTCCCCCTGCAGTCAACTCACAACTTAGTGAAACGGTAATAAGAATTTTAAGGTGCGGCAGGCACATATGTCACCATTTGTATTTCATTGCTTATACGTGTGTTTGCATTTTAGGGTTCAGACAGTGAGCTGAGATCAGAGAAAGATGGCGCAACAGACAGCGACCCCAAAGTGGACAAAATGGACTCGGGTGTCCCTGAGGTGCCAGTGCCGCCTGATGACACACCAGAGGTGTTAAATAAAGCCTTGTCCGGACTCTCCTCAAGGTGAATTAATGGCGTTGGTTTTGAATTTAGGATGCTCTTTTTTCCTCCCACATTCTATAACCGGAACAAAACAAAAAAAAGACCAGACAAGTATGTATATACAGTATTATTGATGTTCATTTTAAAATCTTTTTTTACATTGGGCATTTGAATAATCGAAAAGTAATTAAAAGTGATCAAGTGAAATTAATATCATGGTGATTGGGGACCCTTGTGAGGATAAGCAGATGACATAATGGATGGATGGATGGATTACTTGCAATTTTCATCTCTTCCATCCTTACTTCGGGAAGCAAAATGTGCATTTTTTTTCATCTCTTATAGATGGAAGAACTGGTGGGTCCGAGGGATCCTTACACTTGCCATGATTTCCTTCTTCTTCATCATCATCTACCTAGGCCCCATGGTGCTTATGATGATTGTGAGTACGGCCGGCATCAAGTGGCATTGCAAGAACATCATGGAAGCTAAATGGTATCATGCAGTAGTTTTTCCACACCATAGTCTTTGTTGTTTTAATAACATTTTCTGCATCGCATATGGAAATGATAGATAGATGTGGTGAACAGTGTTACAAAATAACAAATGACACATTTTTAGAATTCCAATTTTGGCGGGAATTTGGAAAGAGGTATTCATCTGGCACTCCCTGTCTTCTATACAGTAATCTGTTAGCAAAATCGCTGACCCCCCCAAAAAATCATATGCTCCAGATTTTTATTGTTTATTAATGAACACCTTTGTAAACAGTTGAACCTTAGTGGAAGTCAACCCCAAAGCATGTTGCTTGATACTGCACATATCAACAGCTGTAAAGTATTGACATGTATATGATTAGACATTAGACAGATGACTAGCTGGATTTTCACTGTTTAGTTCCCCATTCCGTTTTAATGGCTGTATCCAAATTTCTGCTTCAAATCAAACAGTTTTGAATGCTTCATTAATTTGGCTTGCGTTGTTCCTCCTTTGTAATTGCGGATTTGCTTGCATAGGTCCTGTGTGTTCAGATCAAATGCTTCCTCGAAATCATCACCATTGGTTACAGCGTTTACCACTCGTATCATCTGCCATGGTTCAGGACATTGAGTTGGTGAGGACCTACACACACAGAATGAAACGTTTTGCGTCATGAAAATGAAACTTTTTTTTTTTTTTAATCATATTGTCTCATCTTCTATTTTGTGGCAGATTTACTGAGGTTTGTTGTCTCAACTGAAATATTTAGAGTAGGTATAGACAGTTGCAGTGGTATACTACAGTACTTCAGCTTTTCACTCCCTGTGATCTTCATCCTTAGCGTAATAGAAGATGTGACATTAGTCCTTGTCATGTCGTGTCCAGTGGCAACTACTTATGGTGCCTTGAATAAAAGTATTCATATTCAATTTGACCTCATTCACATTTTGTGACGGATGTAATTTGTTTTCATTTCATGAGATAGATCGACAAAATGGCACTGAACTGTGACGTGGATTGAAAATAACATATGATTTTCAAAATTTGAAGCAAATATGAATCTGAAAAATGTGGCGTGCATTTGTATTCATACCCCTGTACTCTGATCCCCGTTCAATAGAATCCAGTGCAATCAATAGAAGTCACCTACTGTAATTGGTCAAATACCGTCCTCCCCTATGAATACACCTTTTCTGTGTCAGAGAAGTAGCCAAGAGGCCCACGGTCAAGCTGGAGGAGCTGCGAGATCTACAGCTTATGTGGGACAATCTGTCCACAGGACACCTACAATAGCTGCAGGATCTAGCCAAGATGGCGGACGGTGTACCACGTGTATGTGGCGACCATCCTGCTGCTTCAGCGGTATTTTCTATTCACAGTGCTTGGTTCTATTCTGACCGAGTCTCTGTTTGTTTGATTGGTAATCTTTTTGGGACTTTCAAAACAACGTCGGAGGTTCGAGTGTATTCGAGCATGGTGGTAGGAGGACGATTGCCTCCGTTGCCGGCTGACATACTGGCTGACCTCTTCTGCGTTCACGCGCTTCCTTCACGAATCTAAAGTGGCCAAGACTTTCGACCCACTATATTCATGTTCGAATTGGCCACTCAAAAGTCCAGACTTAAATCCTATTGAACTTCAGTGGCAATCCTAAATTGTTGTACACAGACACTCTCCATCCAATCTGGCTAAGCATTAACCAAGAAAAGTAAGTGCGAGATGTGCAAAGCTGGTAGAGACGTACCCCAAAAGACTTGCAGCTGTAATTGAAAGGTTGTACAGAACTGCAATGTATTAACAAGGGATGCCTGAGCACAGATACACATCATATTTTTCAGATTTTTATTTGCTTAAAAATGTGAAAACTATACATCATTTCCATTTCACTTTACAATTATGTGCTACTTTGCGTTGGACAATCTAATAAAATCTCAATTTAATAAAAAAAAAACACTTAAGTTGGAGGTTATGAGGTGGCAAAATGTGAAATAGTTAATAAGCCATGAATGCTTTTTCAAGGGCACTATACTTGCAGAGGAATTAGTCTGTATCAAATTGGTGAAGGTTTTCTGATGAACCTAAAGTCTTTCCATCCGGCATAATGTTTTGCTGTTTCTTTTTCTGGACATAGTGAACGCATGTTGCTCTCATAAAGCATGTGAGGTTAGCGTGTCAACCCTCTTCCCGACAGGTACTTCCTGCTCTGCGTTAATTACTTCTTCTACGGTGAGACCGTCACAGATTACTTCTTCACACTGGTGCAAAGGGAAGAGCCACTTCGTATCCTCAGCAAATACCACCGCTTTATCTCCTTTGCCCTCTACCTCACCGGTAAAATCACACTTGACACACAGCATCGACAGTACTTATTAAAGATATTTCACTCACCCATTTCACTCTCATGCTAGTGGACCACAACCTCGAATGTTTATCAGCCATACAGATCTGATATCAGTTTTGTATGTAGTTCCTGCAAGCAGACACGTATCGATTTTGTACACTAATTTGCCATTATTTTTATTAGAAAGTGCCTTTTTTGTTGTTGTAAAGGACAGAGTCTGACGGTACCACATATGGATTTGCATTTTAAAGAATGTGCAAAATAGAAACCTGTCTTGGATAAACCGGAAAGTCTTGGTTTCTTTTCTCTGCAGTCAAAGGCTTTGGGGTAAGAAAAGAAAAAAAGAACCATAGAAGCGAGCCAAGAGCTGATAAGAGGCAACTGATTTGTATTTCCAATTTATTACTGATCTGCAAGGGCACCGTCTCCTCAGTCGCCAGACTCTCAATAGAATGCAGCCTTGAGACACTCTGCTGCATAACAATTTAGACTTTTAGCTAAGGTCAGACTAGAATTGGCCAGTTTGTCAAAATGACCTGGATTCTGACTTAATTGATCCCTCTCTAATGGGCAGTGCATTGACGACCGTGATTCACACTTTCAGGTTTCTGCATGTTTGTACTGAGTTTGGTGAAGAAGCACTACCGCCTTCAGTTCTACATGGTAAGTAACATCCGGGCTCTTCTTAGCCACCACCCTGGGAGGCACTGTTATTAATGAGGCCTGCAAGAGGGAATCACTTTCTGGAGGCGAAGGGAAACCGTTGCCCTAGAAATCGTTTGGCAGTCATCTGAAAGGAAAACAAACCAGACGCTGCGCCTATCCTCAGTGTTCAGTCATTTTCAAAAATATCTTGAGAAAGCTGATTTGGAACATCACGTTTCTTCTCTTTAGCAATTTGCTTAAGTGTTGTCCTCATGTTTTTGTTTATTGCTAAGAATTTTATTCAAGCGTTTTGCAATTCACTGCAGGTTCAGAATGATCGTTTCATCCTCTTGCTTGTCTGTAGCTCATTTAGAATTTTTTGTCAGACTGAATGAGACATTTTAAGATGAAATGTTGAAAAACGAGAACTCGGCAGAATTGGTGGGCCAAGCAACAACTTTTACAGCTTTTAATATATATTTATTTAAACTTAACTGTATTCAAGTTTTTTTTTTTTTTTTTGTGTCTTGCTGAAAGCATTGTGTGTACAACGTTGAATTGAGTATATGCCCTTGTTTGTGTCAAAGGATTTTTCCACTGGTTCTCAACATTTGTGTACCAAATACCACCCAAAAAACAAAACAAAACAAATAACAAGGCCTCCAAGTACCACTATCATGCCCAACATTTGATACAGTAGCATAGTGGGCCGAAGTGTTCATCACAAAGAAGCAGAGGTTTTATTTATCATAAATATTGTAACAAATGCAAGACACTAATATTGTGCAGTTTACGTTCTACTCAGCTGATCATAGTATTGAACAAGTATTGCATTCCCCATGACCGTTGCCTGACATGTACCTAACATTCACTCTCCTCTGTGCCCCCTTTTCTCTCCACCCTTTGACTGCCTTGTCCAATCTCACCAGCTCACACGCTGTTGCCTTCATGAGCTCGCAGACATTTGGAAATGACAGAATTCATGAACAATCTGCTCAACACAACTGCAGGCTTGCAAAAATACTCAATGATTATTTTGCATACCACCAAACTGGTGCACGCACCACACTTTGAAAATTGTTTCGAGAGCTGAAACAGAAGCACGTTGATTTCTTATAGACAACTCAATGCAGAAATTACTCCAAAAATGAACAATAATAATAATAATAACAATAATAAAAACACCGCTCTCCTGTTGGCAGTACATCCATCGATCAAACTATCTGTAGTGTTGTAAAGTGCAGTGTTTTAATTGTGATTTGGTGCATGTTATCGAACCTGGTAGAATGTCACAACAATATAATACGAATATACAGTACTCGTATATTTGTTGTTGTGCACATTCTGTCTAGTTAGACCTGGTTAGGATGCCTTCACGCAAAGCAATCTGTGTCATAACCGTCTTCCTTTTTTCTCTTTTCATCAGTTTGGGTGGACTCACGTGACTCTGCTGATTGTGGTGACACAGTCTCACCTCATTATTCACAACCTGTTTGAAGGGATGATCTGGTATGTAAAAAGTCTGCCCGCACCGTGCAAGTTCTAGGTATGCTAGCAGAAAATGTCATGCTTGGAGATGTCCATTTTTCAGAATATTTATAGCGTGTACAGATGAGGAGCAAATGTGTTTACTTTTAACCCCGACAGCACTTTGAACAATTTTAATAAGCAAGTCTTGTTGTCATTTTTTTTTTTCCTTTCACTAGGTTTATTGTGCCAATTTCCTGTGTGATCTGTAATGATATTATGGCCTACATGTTTGGTTTCTTCTTTGGACGTACCCCTCTCATTAAGGTTGGTCGACATAAGCACTCTGCAAATCTGTTTTTGCAAGTGTTATGATTAAATGAGCAATGTTAACAAGCGGTACTACATACTGTGTCTGTACTGCGTCCTCTACAGCTGTCGCCAAAGAAGACGTGGGAGGGATTCATTGGTGGATTCTTCGCTACCATTTTGTTTGGCATCATGGTGACTTTTCTTTTTATATTGTCTTTCGGACAAATGGAAGTAATTGTTGAATTCTCTTGTGTGTCTCTGTGCGAAGATAAACAAGTAGCATCCATTATTACCGGTAATTCCTTTCGTGAAAGACCTTTTTTTTTTTTTTCACAAAAAACCGGCTAGTTAGGTTCAGAAGACCAAAATGGCAAATCAAGCATTTATGGCCACTTTTTATCTCGGACGCCAACAATAGTGAGTGGTATTGGATCTTACGGTGGCGTCATTAGCACCCCCGTGTGCATATGTGCGATTTTTAGGCGAGGTTATTTGGGTGTCAAGCTCCCGCTGCAAATGTTGTCAGAAGCTTAATTTGTCCTCTTTTTTTTTCCCATTTCACATATTTTTACAGCAACAACTTTGTTGAATTGATGAGTGGGTTACACATTGTGCTGAGTTGCGCTGCCGCACTCTTTGCTAAGTACAGTAGCTGGCGTCGTCATCACTCACACTGGCCCATTCACTCTGACCGTCCAAGCAGGCATTTTCACAGCTTTTTCACAACTTTCTGTTTTATAAATGACCCAATTGGGATCGGTGTCAACCAGGTAATCCACGGGCTTCTTTCGTAGTTTAAAAGAGGGCGCAAACTAACCAGAATGTGAAGTTTAAAACCTGAGATTTAGCGTTGAAAGTAATCATCACTCACACGCTGACATCATCACACGTCAGAATTTCTAATGGGTCAGAATGACAATGACTGCTTTCAAATGATCCAAACCATAGCTATGTGTGGCTTTTCATTTTTGCTATATGATAAGTCAAGCCACAGCACTGTAAGAAAGTAACCTGCACCCTTGATTTTCCTTACAGCTCTCTTACGTGATGGCAGGCTACCGCTACTTCGTATGTCCAGTCGAGTTCAACAACGATTCCAACAGTTTCCAGGTGGACTGTGAGCCGCCTGAACTTTTCCAGCTTCAGGACTACACCCTTCCCAGCATTCTAGAGTCTGTCACTGGATGGGTAAGTCAACAACATATCCTCAGGGAAAATAAACACGGTTGAAAATTGCAGGCACCAAACCTTCAGACTTGGGTGGGCAAGTTTTGCCACAAAAGTAGAGCAGTACTGTGACTTGAATTGTAAATGGAATAAATCTGTTTCTCAGTGGTGTTTTCACATTATTTTCTGCCTCAATGGCGAAAATGAATCTACGTAACAAAAATGCTGGTGGATTTTCAGAGGCTGTAAAGGAGTATGGGCATGTCAATCAATCTCAATGAGGAAAATGGCTTTGCTATACGAGTTCGTCACAAAACTGTCTTTTTTAGTCACTGACTGTTTTCATCTAATCTTGTCCCGCTTGTTTCCGCAGACCACAGTTCGCCTCTATCCATTCCAGATCCACAGCATCGCTCTGTCCACATTTGCATCCATTGTTGGACCCTTTGGTGGCTTTTTTGCCAGCGGCTTTAAGAGGGCCTTTAAGATAAAGGTACACGACTACTTTTGTATGGCCTGGGCTTGGCTCTTCATATCTTTGTCAAATATTCTGCTGGCATTTGGGTTGAACATGCAATTTGTGTACACTACTGTGCAAATGCAAAGCGCAACATGAAATGCCTCCTCTTCCAGGATTTTGCCAACACTATTCCAGGACACGGTGGCATAATGGACCGATTCGACTGCCAGTACCTCATGGCCACATTTGTAAATGTCTACATTGCTAGTTTCATCAGGTAAACACAATGAAATATTTGTTCAAAACTGTGGTTGTGACGAACTTGACGTTTTGCCGTGTCCTTTGACGATTGGTAGTTTACGATTGGCATGTTTGTACTACCTCTCAGGGGTCCGAACCCAAGCAAGGTGATCCAGCAGCTCCTGGCCCTTCGCGCCGACCAGCAGCTCTTCATCTTCAATTCTCTGAAGGCTCACCTAACAGAGAGAGGCTTGCTGCCTGCGTTGGAGGAGGCGGCCGCCTAGAGTGGTCCACGGCCAGAGTCGGCGCGTTGTGAAGGGAGGCGTCTGGAGACTCTGTGCGTACCTGCTGTGAGAGACTCGCCGCGCTTTTCTGTCAGCATAAAAAGGAAAATCAACACAAGGTCACCCTCGGGTCATTCCATTTAATTTAGGTATGAGTTATGTGTTGTTCCACGCTATCTGTGAATTCCGTTACACAAATATTTCTAGGTTCAATTACTGTACACCTTTCCATCCAAGCCTTTCAGTCTATTCCCACTGTGTGTTGAACAATGTTGGTCTGTTCTACTTTTACACTTGTACACAATATTCTCTATTTACCTTAACTGTGTGTTGATATTTTATTGTGCATCATTTTTTTTTTTTTAATGCACTGCTCTCAAATGTGCCACTCACTGTATTGTTACCCTCCCCATTGAGTTGTTTTGTCGTGATGGTTAATATTTATACCGTTTTTTTTGTTTTTAAATATACCAGCTATTGTTTAACTACAAACCCCAATTCCGATGAAGTTGGGACGTTGTGCAAAATGTAAATACAAACAGAATGCAATGATTTGCACGTCATTTCAACCTGTATTCAATTGAATACACTACAATGTTCACCTGACAATTTTTTTTTTTTTATTCAATTGAATACACTACAATGTTCACCTGACAAAATTTTTTTTAAAAAATCACTAATTTGTAATTTGATGCCTGAAATATTCCAAAAAAGCCAGGACCACTGTGTTACATCACCTTTACTTCTAACAACACTCGACGAGCATTTGGGAACTGAGAACAGTAATTGTTTGAAGCTTTGCAGGTGTTTCCCATTCTTGCTTGATGTACAATTTCAGTTGCTCAATAGTCCAATGTCTCTGTTGTAATATTTTGTGCTTCATAATTAATACATGTCATATTTTCAATGAGAGACAGGTCTAGACTGCTGGTAGGCCATTCTTGTACTTTTACTTACTCTCTTATTTGAAGCCATGCAGAATATCGCTTGGTGGTTTCTTGCTGAAATAAGCAAGAACATCCCTGAAAAAGACGTTGCTCGTTTGGCAGCCTAAATTGCTTCCTTGCTTGTGAGCAACCGAGCCTTTTATACGCGGTCATGACATAACGAGTGTCATGACCGCGTGGTATATTCAGGTTAACCTGTTGACCTGTGGTATATTCCAAACAGGTATTTTTTTGATAATTCCTTGACTTTCCCAGTCTTTTGATGCCCCTATCCCATCTTTTTTAAATTTTTTTTTTGGGGGGGGGGGATATGTTGTAGGCATCAAATTCATAGTCAGAAAATCTTTGCCAAAAAAGAACAATGTTCATCAATTTGAACATTAAATATCCTGTCTTTATAGTGCATTCAATAGAATCTAGGAGGAACATGATTTGCAAATCATTGTCCTCTGTTTTTATTTGCGTTTGGCACAACGTCCTAACTTCAGTGAAACTAGGGTTTGTATGTCTGGGAATTTCTTTTATTTAGACAGATGATGGTAACGGTCTGTCATGTCTATATGTAATGGGCTCTGCACTGCCATTTATCATTTCACGACCTTAACCACATCATGCGTTATGTATTGTAAAGTGGAAAAAATGAAAGTTAAGTCTGAATAATTTCACACGATCAGGTTGTGCTAGCTAAATCCAATTGTTGAGTGTGTGGAGGACCTTTTTAGGTCAGTGCAGAGGGACCTCGCACTAGTTTTGTTACTGACAAAGTCTATGAACCAGATGAACCCAAATATATTGTTTTCGTTACAAACTTAGGTTTTGTTGTGCTGGTATTTGTATCTGTGAAGTCAGGTGTATTCAAGATTTGTAGATTTTTTTTTTTTTTTTATATATTGACTGCCAGGTGTGATTCTGGTGATTCCTCGCAATGCTGAAAGGGAACATTTTGAATTTCTTGCATTACTGCCATAGGCTGCTTCTGCCTGTTCGAGACCACAAGTCCAGAGCAGATAGTGAGAACTTGACAGTAGTGACGGTTTTCTGAAACGGTTAATTGGTGCATTACATAGCAGTCAGGGTTCATTACCGATTCAGTCAATTCTGCCAATGTTTTGTTGAATGGTAAAATGGAGTATTATTTTGCAGTTTTAAGTATTCTCCCCCAGTTATAAATGTTGGGGTCCCGACTGCCACGCCGATTATTTTTGTATTTTGTCATTGGGGAAAATGTCAAATTATTTTGATACCAGCTATCTTTCTGAGACTTGACCAATGATAAAGCATTGTTTCGAATAACTCAAAAATCTGATCGCTGTTATTGGACATGTTTACACTCATCGTTCACAGCTGCAAATCTAGTACCATATGTGGTATTCATGTCATTCAATTCTGCCAGCCAAAAATGTAATTTCTTAAAAAGTACTACTAATGTGTTTATGCTAGTTTGTCATTGATATTTACAAAAGTGCAGCATATCCGGTGTGGATTAAGGCCCACACCTGGAGTTGAAATGTTTACATTGGTCATATGGATTTAGTGGTAAAATGTGTTTTGGCTTAAATGACAACCTTCCAGTTCATAGTAATGAATTGGTGACGGTGCAGCAATTGACAGGCAATGTTCACCATGGTCATATCCATCTGTGAAACTGAAGGTGAACCTTTTTAACTCTTATTCACGTCACACCGACTCCGTTATGTTTGTGCACATCCAATTGGTCTCGACATGCTGTTATAAGAAACATTTACGTCATCATCCAGTTCCAGGAAGACTGTCTGAGGTAGACTTATGATGAATCTGTACAATGGTGTAGTCAGTTCAAACCAGATAGAAATGTAGCAGGGACATCCAGGTCACATTGTGGTCCCGTTGTTCTCTTTCTGTTGGTTAATGACCAGCTCATAAAAGTGCAGTCAAACTTTTTAGAACATGACCCAGAAAAAAAAAAAATCACTCACATCCTGAATGTGATGTCCGCCAAATGTTTTCTTTTTCTTCTTTTGATACACTGAAACAGGGCAGGATATTTGTTCATGGTTCTTCAAATGTAAGCCAATAATGGCGCATGCCTTTCATAATTTCCATTGGACATCCACATCGTCGTAAGTGTAAGTTTCTCCATAAAGTATTTATTTGGTCGTATCATTTCACCTCAGTTATCTTATATGTTTAAGATTTTAGAGCTATTTTTGGTGTGCTTCAATATTTTGTATAGTTTAAGAGAATATTTAAAGCTACGCTGTCATTTAGAAAAGGATATTGCAATAGCAGAGAAGTGCTGGCTTTCTTGCAATGAGCTGTTTGTTGACTTGGCTCTTTTGTGCTCTTGTTGTTGCAATGCGGTTAGAAGCTACACAGATACCGCTGTTGTGTCCTTTCATCAGGACTTTTGGTTTTATTTTTATTCTTAGCTCAGACAGCATATCTGTTCCTGTGATGGTTTTTTTTCCCCCAAGCCCATCTTTGTTAGAGGTGGCCACAAGAGGGAAGAAGCGCACCCATTTGCTGATCGAAACGTTTGACCCAACAATGACGATACAAAAAGATATACTGTAATTTCCCACTCATAGCTCATAGAAGCAGACTAAAGACTAAATACCAGTTTACCTTGATTCAAAAAGAATAAATCATTCGTGTGGCAACAAGAAGGCCATTGTGGACGGTATTACAATTTTGCAGGACCTTTTAAAGAATGTATTGAAGTGGTGCAACCTTATTAACCACATATTGTTTGCTCGCCTTCAAGAACATTTTATTTTGTGGTTTCCCTATAAATCAGTATAAGTTATTTTATTCTTAGGCAGTGGAGTGCTTTGTGATGTATATTTGTCTATAGAAAAAAATGTATTCTTGATGCTAAAAAGTACTTTGCCTTGTTGGAAAATAAAAAGTTATTGCTCATGTGTTTTCGCTTCCCTTGTGTAATTTCTTGCCAGCCCCGGTCTACATGTTTTTTTTGATAATTGAGATTGCATTGCATCATATTTGTAAGTCACAGACATACCTGACGTGTGCAGATCACTGGAGGAGTCGGAGCAAAAGATGACGAGCATTTTATACAGAATGAATGATATGAACCATTTTAAATAGTTGTGTCATTTGTCATTTAAAAACGTCTGAGCGTTTTCGTGAATCACCTCGAGGGAAATTTATACAAAACAAGTCTGAACATGGAAACAGTCTGAGGAAACATGAGTGTTTGAAATTGTGAGAAAAAAAATTAACACACAGGAAGCAGGAAGTGTGATTTGCGATATCTTCCTTGTGTGTGTGTGTGTGTGCGTGTGTATGTGTAAAATTCAACACTGACCTTTGCTACAAATTGAGGACAACAGCATGTCTTTGAAACTACCTCGCAACTGGGATTTCAGCACCTTCAAAGTTGAGACAGCTCGTATTGGTAAGCGAATGGCCGTGCTACCTTCAATGACAGCAGGACAGATCATTTTCTATAGCATTTGAAAGTTCGACTATGCTAAAACCAACAACTAATTGTCCTCATCTTCAACCAAGACGGGTTGTAAACAGTATATGATAGTTGTTTTGGATGTTAACCCGAAGGTCCCCCAGGTGGCTCGAATGCATTACAGGTGCATTAAAGATAGCACCGCAGTTTTGGCCATGGATCCAAATGTTGGATTGTGATGGTTCTCACTTTTACGGTATTATTATTTCTTTTTCACGTGTGTAATTATGAGTTTATGTAATTTGATAATAAGCGTTAGGCTGACTAAAAACTGGGCTCACTTGCGTCTGCGTTTGTGGGATCACAGTAATAACACACCTTATTCCCTGAGGCGTATTTAATTGCGACCTTGTGATAAAGGAGGTTTGTAACACATGCTTGGTGCTGACTTGGATTGACTGGGAATGGGATTCGACCACAATCACATGAAATGGCATCACGTTGAACTCTTTTGCATTTTGGATTTTTTTTCAAGATTTTTGTCCACCCATTTCTCTTGGAAAAATAAATATCGATAATATAAGCGAGTGTAACAAATAAATACATCCAAATTTGAAAAATGCCAATTTGAAATGTGGTTGTTAACTTCACCATGAACGTCAGTTTGTGGTATGACTGTGCTTGTGGTCTCGAATCAAAGGAAGTTGATACTTTTGGAAAGGAGACCAAAGAATATTTGAGCTTGCAGGTGGAGACCAGTGGGCAGTGGTGCAGTAACTTCCTGTTTACCCCAGCGATGCCCTATACGTCTGCTCTTCTTTATTTTGGCGCCACAAGACAGAGTGAATTAAAACACAACTGACTGACGGGGCCTGCATGCGATCCCATTATGTCTGCTGTCCGAGTACACCTAGACCTCACTTAAAAAAAAAAAAATCTCTCTCTCTCTCTCTCTCTCTCTCTCTCTCTCTCTCTCTCTCTCTCTCTCTCTCTCTCTCTCTCTATATATATATATATATACACACACAAACAGTTGAAACTATGACAAAACATCCAGAATAGTGTTCATAGTGATGCTCCTTTTTGCTCCCAGACAGTACTACATTACTCACCGATTCTTCTGCATTGTCCAAATGCAATAACATTGCTGCAAAACCATAACAGCTCTGTGCAGACAGCCCAACAGGAACTTGGTCGGCACTAAGAAGCAGTTTCTATTTACCCTGAAAGTATAAGCATAGAAACTATCCTCTCCACCCTTTCAGGCTGGTGCACATTCACACCAAAAAAAGGAAGAGCAGTGCAGCAGTCGACTAGTGCAGAAGTTTCCGATATTTTTCTGTAATGTGAGAATTGTTCTTCTTGCCATTCTTCACCTGCTTCCTGTATTTCAGCTCGCTCTAAGAGCATATTATCTGGTGAGGGAAGCTCAGGTCTGAGTCCAGGCTCAAGACGATCCCTCAAGTCCATGGAGAGGCCTTTGAAGGCTGGCTGGCTCAAGAAACAGCAAAGGTCTCTTGTAAAGAACTGGCAACAGCGCTACTTTGTACTGAGGGGAAGCACCCTAACCTACCACAAAGATGACCGAGAAACGGCTGTCCTGGTAAGAAATGTTTTTTTTTTTTTTGTTTTTTTTGTGGCGCATAAACCATGCATTTTATGTCGACAAAGGTGTCTGGAAACTCAATCTTGAAGTCATCAAATAGAGTAAAACCAGCCAGTTAGAGATACTATCTGGACAAAAGTTATAGGCCACATCAATGCTTCTAACCATGTGTGAACAGCTAGGGGAAGGGCCACAAAATGTATTGAGTTAAGTGCGTCTCAATAAATTTGAATATCATGCATACTGTATTTAAAACTGCTGGGTTAAAAGTGACCTAATTTTGTTCAAAAAATGGAGCGACCCTCTATTTGAGTCAATTTGACCCAACTTTCTGGGGCATTTTTTGTACAATGACACTTCCCCAAAAAAATGGGCTTTTTTGGTACTACATTTTTGACCATAACTCTTGTTACATACAGTGGTCTTCACACATTTAAATAGTTCATGATTTAAAAAAAATCATTTTGATGATCATTGCTAAGCGCCAACAAACACGCAAAACTCACACATCTCAAGAAATTGTAACATTTATACAAAACCCTATCATTTTGTTTCATGAATTTGCGTAGTATATGAATTTTAGCACAGTGGATGACTGGTTAGCATGTCCGCCTCACAGTGCAGAGGTTGTGGATTTGAGTCCAGCCTCTGGCTTCCTGTGTGGGGCTTGCATGGTCTCCCCGTGCCTGTGTGGTTTTTCTCCGGGTACTCCAATTTCCTCCCCCATTCCAAAAACATGCTTGACAGGTTAATTGAACACTCTAAATTGTCTATAGGTGTTAATGTGAATGGCTGGAAACCAATTCAGGGTGTACACGGTCGCCTCCACCTGAAGACAGCAAAGGACAGGCCCCGGCACACCCTATTTGAAAAACTAATTGTAATTTTTGAACAGAGCTACTGAAATAAATTGAACTTTACCGCAATATCATAATTCTCCTTTCGTTTGGCTCATGTCCTGAGTGTTTGTCCATGCCTCTGTTTTTACAATACTGTATTTTGTTTTTTAGGGCTTTATCCAGCTTCAGTTCAGCAAGGTCAATGAACTCCCCTCAAACTCAGATGAGCCTGGGAAGTACATCTTTGAAATCATACCAGGTAGGATTGGTATTGTGAGGCAAGCCAAGCCCCCTCTCTGCCCATCTTTAAAACTCATTTTTATTCTTTTGACTCAGCATCAGTCTGTTTTGTTTTTGTGATTTGTAATGTTTTACTGTTGTTTTTATTAACTTAACTGTTTTCACTGTCTTTGTTGTTGTATGACTCTTTTTTTAATGGAGGGCAAATTTGTTCACAGTGATATTTGTTTTAAAGTGCTTTATAAATAAAGTCGAGATGCGTATTAAAGTAACTTAGCCCTAAGTCACACAACACATTTCCAATAGGTGAACTATTACTTCCTGTTTTGCATCGAAGCATAACGTAATACTCTAGCGAATAAAAGGGTTGTATTTTTTGTATTTTATATTGTATTCACTCCAGACAGACCTATCGACATCTACATCAATTATCAAGTATTAAGTATCAAGTACAACTTTATTGTCAAATGTGCTGAATGTGTATGTGTGTGTGTGTGTGTGTGCGTGCGTGCGTGCGTGCGTGCGTGCGTGCGTGCGTGCGTGCGTGCGTGCGTGCGTGCGTGCGTGCGTGCGTGCGTGCGTGCGTGCGTGCGTGCGTGCGTGCGTGCGTGCGTGCGTGCGTGCGTGCGTGCGTGCGTGCGTGCGTGCGTGCGTGCGTGCGTGCGTGCGTGTGTGTGTGTACATATACACATATATGTGTGTGCGTGCGTGCGTGTGTGTGTGTGTGTACATATACACATACACACACACACATAATTTTTACCTTGTTCTTGTTTTTAATATTCAGTCTTTTTTTTTTTACGGCAGGTAAAAGTGCAGATAAAGAGCGATGCCCTCATGTGTTCATGGCCACCTCCCAAACCGATATGAATGAGTGGGTCCGAACCCTGCGCAGGGTCATTGGTGTTCCGAGTGGAGGTTCAGTAACATCAAATTACTTAAACAGTCCAGTTAAAAAAATAAAAGGAATGTCAATCCATGATGCCCTAATAGCTACTGAAGATAATGCTTTCCTTTAGCGATAGCTAAATGAAGGAAGTCACAGTGATTTTATTTCACTTTTTTTTACAGTTGTAATTCATAGTTGTTTTTATTTCGCAAATTAAAGCTTTAAAATATTTGCATTTGTTTTCATGTAAATAACAGACCGTTTTTTAGTTTGAACAGTGCAATTCATAAATATGCAAGATATGTCACAATATTGAGAGAGAGAAAGAGAGAGAGAGAGATGGATGATCAGTGCAAAATGTCTTCTGTGTCCCTCTAGTGTTTGGAAAAAGTCTGAAGGACACAGTGATGTATGAGCAACGTTTTGGACCCCAGATGGTGCCCATCCTGGTCCAGAAGTGTGCGGAGTATATCAGAGAGCATGGTCTAAATGAGGAGGGCATCTTCCGCCTCCCTGGGCAAGACAACGCTGTCAAACAATTCAGAGATGCCTTTGACGCAGGAGAGAGGCCGTCTTTCCCCAGGTCATTCACTCCCTCTCTGTTACTCCAATATCGGCATCCATTTTCCATGCCAGTCGGGTGAGCCGGAGCCCGTCACAGCTGACTTTGGGAGAGAGGCGGGCTGCACCCTGGACTGGTTAGCAGCCAGCCCAAGGGCACATCTAGTCAAATTAGCATTCACATTCATGTTTTAGAGTCTTGACTGAACCATCTGTTCAGATTTTTGGAATGTGGGCCGAAGAACACAGAGAAAATCCACACAAGCGTGGCAAAAACATGCAAAATCCTCACAGAATTATAGATTTCTGCCATTTTTTGTAAGTGGTTTAACTGGAGCATCTGAATTATTTTGACTTGTGAAGCTTTGAGAAGGAAGCTGGTTTGCTAAGTGGTTTGCTAATCACACAAAGCAAAAGCTAGAAGATTCCTTAAAGAAGTTGAAAAAGAAAGCTGGGAGATATGAGCAACCCGCAGAGAAACTCGAGGGGCAGATGACACCACATCCTGTTCTGGCTGAGTATGCAAGAGGATGCGTGCATGTGTTACACAATATGATAAGCTTTGTTTTTCCACGACGCTACCATCGGTGAAACATTCTGGCTGTCTGTGTGCGGTTAAGTGCAGCACAGCGAGTGGTAAAATGTGCAATCATCATTGGCCACTGCGTTGGGTACTTCTCCACAATCACATAAGATTTATGGCTCATACGGTAAAGGAGTCACATTACTGGTATGTATTCCCCCCCACACATAATGACATTGTCTGTCATATGCTTTCATCAAAAGAGGAGTCAGCCCTAAAAAGTTATGGGGGGGGGGGAGCTAAAATATAGGACAATGCTCAGAATGATGTGCAGTGCAGTTCTACAGTAATAAACATGATTAGATGAATACTTATTTGACAGTATAAACCATGCAATGCATTATTGAGCTATGCGATTTAATCCCACTGTCCAAGCGTGCATATTGTTGTCAACAGTGAGTGTGTGGAGTGAAGTTGTCATTTTCCTCACAGTGACACGGACGTCCACACGGTGGCGTCGCTGCTCAAGCTGTACTTGCGAGAGCTGCCAGAACCTGTAGTGCCATGGTCTCAGTACCAAGCCTTTTTGGACTGCACCAACACGCTGGACTCTGGCAATGAAGAAGTATGTTTCACCTCCGGGATAGCTCACGTCTGGACATCCGTAGATGTGCTTACATTTTGTGTACGTGTGTGTATGAAATGCCCAGCATGTGTGACAAAATCTTTGTGCGTCCTTTCAGGGGGAAGAAAAGTTAGAGAAACAGATCGCCCTCCTCCCAAGAATCAACTACAATCTCCTAAGCTATGTTTGCCGGTGAGCTGAAGCATTGTGGGATATGATGTAAAAAGTGTCTATGTGTACGCCTAATCACGGTACAAATGCTTTGAACTCCAACCAGATTGAAATCAGTCAAAACAAGAACCGCCACCATGTACCCGATTGTCCCACAGGTTCTTATTTGAGGTTCAGCTGCATTCCCAAGTCAACAAGATGAACGTGGAGAACCTGGCCACGGTGATGGGGATCAACCTGCTCAAGCCACAGTTAGAAGACCCCATCTCAGTAATGAAGGGTACCAACATTTCCAACCATCCTCGTTTGTTACCAGTCATTGTGTACAGGCTCCTGACTCCTCAGTGAACTTCATATATTGCACGGCACATGTTTTAGACTCTGTTGAGCAAAGCATTGCACAGCATTCAGATATTAAAAGATGTAAACATCTATGCAGAAAAAAAAGCAAGATGGAATCCAAACCCCAAACCATATTTGACATTCTGAAGGTTGCGGCAGGCTTTAACCCCCCCCCAAAGCAATAATGGCAGAATGATTATGCGGTTAATAACAAACACAGGTTGGGCCATAAGTGGGCTTACAATGGCAACTTACAGGGCCATAACATTTTATTACATTGATACCAATATGTATTTGATAATTTTCACATTTTGTCAGATTTGAACCCTTTCAGGGACCGCGGTTACTTCAGTGCACAGCTTATCATGTTATCAGGTTACAGGGTGCTTGAAAGGGTTCATCTATATTAGTTGCTCCATGTACAGCACTTTGTATACAGCGATACCTGTTTGAAAGTGCTCTATAAATACAGTTGAGTTGAGTTGAGTATTTGTCCTCCGTGAAAGAACATTGCAACATTCCTCAAACGTCTCCAGAAACACGACAAATGCAAACACAACCTGTCAGCCTATTTTTGGCCCACCCTGTATACGTACAGCCATCCATCCATTTTCAAGCGTGTTTTACTCATTAGGATTGCGGGCGGGCAGGAGACTATCCCAGCTGATTTTGGGAGAGAGAGAGAGAGTGAGAGAGAGAGTACATGGTCACTCAAGCTCAGTGACAATATGCAAGCGAGACTAAATATCATAATCTGGCAATGGTGTGATGTTAAAAGTGTGTCCTGGGGCATGTCAAGCATGTTCTACCAATTTTATAGCAATTACAAAGACTCAAAACCAGAACATGAAGTAGAGCTGCACAGTCAAGTGCATTCAAGACAAGAGCTTGATCAAAACAGGCTCTTTCTATCATTTTGATGACCTACATTAATACATTAGTGGGACAAGCTTGTCCTTGTTTCTAAATTCTTAAGCTTAAGAGAACTCTGAACTTTCATGGAAAATAGTATCAGCCGTAATCTGTTAAATTGTCATTGTTTCCAACTCCGGTGGTTCTGAGACGGTAGTTGCACAAATACCGTGACAATACATTACAATACACCTTTGTTTCAATTTAACATCAAAATAACACTAACATCCTTGGAATGAATGAAGAAACATCTGGACATGTAAACATATTAATTTCACTCAATGAGAAAGATGAGGCCCGAATGATCTGGCTTTGTTTTCTTCTCAGCAACTCCTCACATCCAGAAGTTGATGACGGCGATGATCCGACGACACGAGACTTTGTTTCCTCTATGCAACGACGTGCCTCCCTCTCCTCCCTCCAACAAGGCCGAGAACCAGAAGAACTCTCCTCGCAACTTTGTTGGCTGGGGCTCTACTGAGGTAGCGCAATACCCAAACATTTATTTTCCCCCCTCAATGAATGCCGTGTTTGAATGCAGGTAAAGGCCTGAGCTGTGATTCAAGCGAAATCAAATACTTGACCAACACAAAGGACAGAAACAAAAGCCAGCATTTCCAGAAATACTCAGCAGTTTATGGCACAGTTCAACACCACCGACACATAATACATATTTGTAAGCTCTTTCTATTTGGGTCAAATACACATTTGGTCAAAAAGTAAATACAAAGTCGGTAAATAACAATATAAGATAAGATAAGATAAACTTTATTTGTCCCACACTGGGGAAATTTGCAGTCTACAGCAGCAAAATTCTGGGGAAGAAAAAAAACCCAAAGTGTTTCATTGCACAAAATAAATGTTTCAGAAAGAACTGTACACAGTTTAATAAAAGTGGAATATAAAATATAGCATTAGCAATATATTTGTAGAATATAATAAATTAGCAATAGAATAGAAAACACAGCATAAGGTGGCTCTGCTAAAGACTAAAGACTGTATCGAATGAATATTCTGCCTTTACGACGGCATTGATCATTGTGTTATGCAAGAAAGAAGACCACAACAATGAACATCAGATGCAATAGTTAAAAAGGAGCATTTTTTTCTCTATTTCTTATTTTCATTTTCTTTTTTAGGCATACACTTTCTTGTTTCGGATCTCAGTAAGACAGTTGTTTTTTTTTTTTTTACAATATATTTGGTTCATTGTTTATAAAAAAATGACTCCATTAAAATTCATGAGTCACTCAAATATTAAATTGAGCTATCACACACAGGGCTGCCGCTCCCGATACACAGAAAATTCACAGTGTGTAGGTCGTATTTTTGTGCATGTCATGTGTCAATCCTCCACCATGCACTTGACATGTCGTTCAAATATCTGCCAGTCCCCAACCACAACCAAAGCCCCCCATATCTGTCATGGGAAACCATGACACACCTACTACTTTTACAACCCTCGTCCACTTTCAAAGCAGCTTACTTATCCAGTTCAGGGTCGCAGTCAGTCACAGGGAACGTCGAGAGACAATGAACCACTCACCCTGTCACTGAGTGAGAACTGAAGCCATGCCGCTTGCACTAAAGTCCTGCAAATATGCTCCTACACGCATGAGTGCCTTAATGGTAATGCAGTGCTCGTTCTGTAGAATTGTGTTCATTAATTCCTACGAGTCGCAGACTTTTGTCTTTGCTGCAGTGTTTCCAGACCGTGCATATTTTGTAGATTTCAGACCCGATGTGCTGCCTTGTCAATCTAAACTGCCCAAGGCCGTCAGATTCTGTAGTGCCGGCCGATGTCTTAAACCATTTTAGTATGTAGCCCCAGCTGCCCAGGGCAGGATGAGAGAAGCGTGACTTACAGTGTGCAAAACCTTCACACCCAGCCGTACACCATTGTGAGTGGCACTGGAGCTAAGGTGGGTGAAGTGTCTTGCTCAAGGACACAATGGCACATGACTCGAACAGAGCGGGAATCGTACAGTGTATCCCCCGTTGATTGGATGGCCCGCTCTACCTCTGAGCCACAGCCGCCCCAAATGCTCCAGGAACTGACCAGTTTTAAAGAACACACACAAACATTACATTTGATAATATTTCTGTTCCAGATGAGTGACAGTGCTTTCTCTGAGTCTACCGAGGAGGATAAAAATGACAGTCCAGGTCCCCTGAGAGGAAATTGCATCTCTCCAGATGTCCTGCAAGATTCAATGCCATCTTCTGACAACTGGGCCGGGAGCCCCCGCAAACGTACCCAAACTCTGCCTACCTTCAATTGCCCCCTCACGGGGATGGCGGCAAAGGCTGGTGCCATCCACCGCTGGAGTCGCAACCAGGATCTAGTGGAAGACAAGAGTGCGACGTTGTCAGAGGACATCTTTAAGATCCTGGATCTCCGCTGTTCAGGATCTTTTTCAAAAGGCACGCTGAAAGGCATCAAGGAGGGAGACGTGAAAGTCAGAGCGCAAGACGAAACCAATCACAAGGCTCCCACTACTTCTAGCTCCCAAAAATCTGACAGTGGCTCGCAGTCTGCTCGGGCCCAAAAGAGTGTTGAGCCCTTGGTAGAGAGCTCTTTAGATCAGGGGGTCAACAACAGGACTGAGCAGAAGAGAGACAACCAGCAGTCTCCTGACAGGTGAGAATGAGAGCGTAAATGGGTGTTGGTCTACAATCCATAGTACACTACACACAAAAAAAGAGAGGGATATTCGTCTTTTGGGTGACATTTCAGGATCAACTGAAAACTCGCTCTAACCTGCAACCGTAATTTGACCTTCTTTCAACTTTTGAATGTCCAAAAAAGAGAGGGATATTCGTCTTTTGGGTGACATTTTATGATCAACCGAAATCTCGCTCTAACCTGCAACCGTAATTTGACCTTTTTTCAACTTTTGAATGCCCATTGCTCTGTTCAGTGTTTCAGTACTTTTTGCGCAAGCTGCTGTTCTCTAACAAGGAGCAAAATGGCAACAGCAACAGGCATTTGATCCATGAATGGACGATTCCATTTCCTGGATTCACTTCCTATTGGTTTTGAACAATCGTCTTCATCCTGCTGTTCGCATTTTGACATCTTGAGATCAACAAGGCACCGAACGGTATCAACAGGACCGCGCCTTTGCAAGGCTTGACGCAGGATCTTCTGACAGCAAAGTCGCCACTGAGCAGAGAGTGTCGCAGGCTGTCATCAGCAGGTTATGACAGAGGGACTGGAAGAGTCACAGAAAGGCATCGAAGTGGAGGTTCTCATGCACCTGTTATAAATTTTGACTTTCATCTTCTTGAAAGAGATCATTAAATTTTTGCTAAGACTACTTCATCTTTTAACAGTTGGACATGCATTGAAAAGTTTAGGGAAGGTCAAACGAAGGCATATTTTAGATTCATCCCAAAATGTCACTCGAAAGCCAAATATCCCAAACTTTTTCCGATTAGACATAAATTTGCGTTAACATTTGTGTCTCGCAGTGTGCAGCAGGAGCTGAAGGAGCTGAGGGCCACTGTGAGTGAACTTCAGTCTACTTTGGAGGCAGAGCGCCACCATGTGGCAGCTTTGGAAATATGCCTCAGAAATGCAGAGCGCAGTCGGGATGAAGCTGAGAGAAGAAATGAAGAACTGCAACGGGACATTCAGCAGTTTCTCAGTCGAAAGCCCCAATCTCCCACTTAACGGTTGGGAAATTATTGTTCGTGTTGGCGGACTTTGGAGTGTTTCTTCTTGCTTGCTGAGTCCAGATGAGAAGTTTTTGGTGGCTCCTATGGGAATAATCTGTTCAGTCGATAGATATTTTCAAATGTTAACAAAGACTTCACCGGCTGTTAGTTTCTTATCATATTTCCTCTAATCTAAGTCCCCCCTCTCCCCTCCATTAATCGTCTACTTGGATAAATAAGTACCGGTACACAAATGGATGGCTCGTTTCTTCCAACATAATAATAGATACATTTGCATTTACTGTGACCGATTGCACCCTGTGGTGTCTGGGTACCACTCCACAGAGAATCGCCATGGCATCTGCAACGGGAACATTTACAGTAGACGTTAAAGTCGACGTGCTCCGTTTTGCCTTGTGTCGTAGTGTGGAGCAAAACCTGCTAAACCTTTCAGGAGGAAATAATTGCAGATTAGAAACCAAAACTAAAGAAAGTAAGAATGCCGGTGTGTTTGAGATGTGCCTCACGATTAAGTCGTTTCCATTAAAACGATGAGAAAGAAAGTGGATGAACTACTCTTTAGTGAACCACATGACCCGTAATGCAATATAGAATAGATTACTGTAATGTATGTTGCAATATGGGACATGCATGTGTTATTATAATGCATATTCTGTGTTGCATTCATTTCTGTACCACTGGTCCTCATTAGGGCTGTGGCTGAGCTGGAGTTGATCACAGCTGCCTTTGGGCAACAGGCTTTGTGCACCCTGCAATGGTCACCAGCCGACTGCCTGAAGTCGGCTGGGATGGGCTCCAGCACGCCCGCGACCCACGTGAGAATAAGCAGCTCGGATATTGGATGGATGGATGTTACTCCAACAGAATGTCAATATTTATTTGTGGAAAACTAGACGATATAGGTACACATGTCTTCTTACTCTGCAGTCGAGTAAATAAAGGCCTGTGTCCATTCTATGAGGAAATGAATTCATGAATTAAATTACATTGAGTTACACAACACGGTTTGTGACAAAATCTTGACATCAGACATTTTGAATTCCCACTGATATTTAAGGTAGGTTTGTAACTCAAGTGGAATCCACAAATACAGACAGTTGATGCCACAACAGACATCTCATTTAGGGAATGACACTCCGGTAATTACCGGTAGTTGTTTAAGATATTCAAAATCGGTATGAGCGTGTACTCCAACAGTTTAATCGCAGCTATTCGGTGGGCTGTATCAAAGATTCCATATGGGGATAACATGATTTGATTGACACAGGAATATATTGCGTTTTAGTTAACAATTTGAGAGCAATTTGTGAAAATTAGCTTTATTACGGTTGTGTGCTCCGTATGTTTAATTCGGCGCTTGCACTGGTGCTGATTGAACTCTGGGGCTGGCATAAGTTTTCTAGCTGTATACAATCTTTGAATTGAGGATGTGGCCGGGCTAAGAATGAACCAATTACATTCAATCCCATGTTACAAACCCTAATTTCAGTGAAGTGGAACGCTGTGTAAAATGTAGATAAAAAACTAAATACAATGATTTGTAAATTCAACTCTAGATTCAGTTAAATATACTAAAAATATACAATCAAAGACAAGATATTTAATTTTCAACCTTTTTTGTTTTGTTTTTTTTTGTTAGTTTTTTTTTCAACAATTCTCTCATTTGGAATTTGATGGCTGTAACAAGTTCCCCCAAAACTCTGGGACAGGGCATGTTTACCGAACGGACGGACAATATCTAGAAAGATCTATAGACATCTAGCCAGCTAGCTAGCTAGCTAGCTAGATAATGCAGTATTTGCAGTTTAATTTTGCCTCTGCCCATAAGAAAAAAAAGATCAGATACCAAATGGTCTGACCAAGTGTAAGATTTTGAAAGAAATAGCTAAACAATGAGGCAATATCCTGCCAGGCACAAAACACAAGATAAAGTCCTGAGAAGATAAATTCAACAAAATGCAGGAGGCCAAAGTCAATAGCAATCCTAGCCAGCAAGCGAACATGTCAATGTAAATTACACCGTGGTCATTATTATACTGTTGTGGGGGTTACAGTTACAATATGTCCTTCAAATGTGGTAACATTTATGATCATAATCATGCCGTGAGGGTCAAACTAGAGAACAAATGGTCATTGTAAGTAGGGTTGCAAATTTGGGGGAATTTCCTTGGAAATTCACTGGCATTAACGGGACTATTTTACATTTATGGGAATATCTATGTCGTTCAAAACAAGAACATAATCTGACTCAAAAAGGGTAATGCACATATCCATTCAAACAGTGATGGGTGACTGTCTGGGCATAACAATCAGACATGATGCAAATGAAGCTGAATGTCTAACTTGCTCTGTGCATCCCTCACTCTCAGACATGTCCATTCACTTCAAAAGTTGGTGATATTTCTGGGGTCAATGATGCATAAATATTTGATTGATATTAGAGTTCGTAATAAAACAAAAACATTGGGTCTGACTTTGAAGAAATGGACATGGAGGATTTTGATGGGGGTTAAGGAGGAATGCATTGAGACGTGATGGGACTGGTAGTGTGCATTGTAAGGAATATGTAGTAATAATGTTTTCCTCTTGGTGGTCAAATTTCCATTTTAATGTCCGAAATTATTTTTGCTATACCTCACAATCTTAGGAGTGTGTGTGTGTGTGTGTGTATGTGTGTATGTGTGTGTGTGTGTGTGTGCGTGCGTGCGTGCGTGCGTGTGTGTGTGTGCGTGTGCGTATGCGCTCGCGCGCAGCAGTCCACTAACAAATCTTCAACGGGTCATCAGGAAGGTGTGATGTCAGTTGCGACGGCAGTTTCACAGCGCAGCAGATAAGCGCATGTCTGTCAAGTGTCACCCTGGCAGACAAGTGGCAGGTGCGGGAAAAGCTCATTGCTTCCCATCTGGGTGACGCATCGAGTGTATCGCCGGGTCACGCAAAGAAGCTCTGGAATGAGTGCAACAGTCGTGAGTTCAGGTGGTGAGCAGGAATGTTCTTCCTAGTGGCAGGGAGGCCATTTTGTTATCACAGCAGGAAGCAGCTCGGTGACGGCACAGCGAGCTGTACCGTGGACATTGAATCACTGTGTCTCACTCCGTTGGACATACTTTACTACCTTTAGGTGCAACATTAAAGAACTGCCGTACGTGAAACCCTCACATTACGTTTATCTCCTATTTATATTCCGAGAGTCTTCACTGACCGGACACTGGGCAATGCACACTTCTATTATTCTCGCCACGAAATGTGGAAAGAGTTAAACATCTTTCCGTCTTGGTCAATGGGCCTCACAGCTCATTACATTTCAATTTCACTTGGACAAGTATTTTAATATGGAATGGCATCAGCGGACTGCCGTACTTTGTCAAAGAGAAATGGTCTATGGCGCATCAACAACAGCGTGCAGAACTTTGCCATTTACAAACCAAATAAACAAATGGAAAAAAAAAAAAATCAACTCTGGTGCACCCACCCAAACAAAATAGCGCTTCCACAAGGAAGAGGCTACAGGACAGTGTTTACAAAATCCTCATTAAGGAAGTTGTGAGATAACACATGCTCAACATCACACAAAGTGGAGGGCACACACACACACACACACACACACACACACACACACACACACACACACACACACACACAGCAAAGCAGAGCCCACCATATCGTAGATAAGGGACTGAGAGAAAAAGCTGGGAAGGGAGCGTAAAGCACAGAAAGAGAACAACACAACAGAGATGACAAGGTGGACCATACCGGGCCTCTGTCACGCTGCCACTGGACGTATAGGCCATAGCTGTGCATGAGACTAAATGCTGTGTCAACGGCGACGCTGCATAAGGTTTACTGCAGGCACCGTAGAAGATCCCACTTGTCACAGAAAAGGTCACCACCGCTTTTTATCGACTGTGACAGCATAAAATTAATTGCTAATTTTTTTTCTCCATGGCGAGTATTTGGGTTTCTCTTCCGGGAACCATTTGCAGCACCGAGACTATACTCTTACTATTTTCTATATTGTTGCTCCGGGGGCCTCTTTGTGGCGAGGGCAGCCCAATCTCCAACGCCGACCAGAGGCTTCGACCCACTCCGGGGCTGAAAGACGGACTGGGGAGGGCGGCGGACGCGTCTCAGTCGGAGCAGGACAACAATCTGATCATGCAGGGTGTGCTGGAGAGCCTGAAAGAGCAGTTCCTGCAGACATTCAACCTGTCTGGCTTGGGTCCACCTCCGCTGCCACCTGGAAGCGTACGAGAGGAGCCGCCTGAGTACATGATGGAGCTCTACAACCGCTTTGCCAATGACCGCACCTCAGCGCCCAGTGCCAGCATCATTCGCAGCTTCAAGAATGAGGGTACAGGAAGCTTTGTTTATGACTTTCAAATTGCAGTGAATTCATATATTTCCACATTTTGCTATAATCGCGATTGTGGGTAGAACAAAGGTTATCTTAGCGTATCTTATTTGAAGATTCAGTTCAGTTTAGCATCCAATGTCAATCGTGTGTAGGGGTATGATGATAAGCCCTCAAAACTCATTTAAATGCTAAAATGTTCATTGAAATGATTTCGTGAGGACTGTACAAAACAGCATTTCCACATTCTTGTTGGGTCATTTTTTTAACCCTGGAGAACCCACGAGGTCATATTTGGCCCCTATAAATTCTGCTACTCAAATGCTACCCTTAAATCCCAAAGGGTCAAATTTGGCCCTCATCCTAAATTAGGATTAAAGCATTGAATATTTGAAAAAAAACATATATTTTGGTGCTCAGTGAACATATAGCAGTCACTTAATATATAATTCATCATTTTCCAAAGAAGAAAAGGGTTCTTGGGTTCTCCAGGGTTAACATAATATTGTATCCCATCACCAATTTCTCCACTTGCATCTTTTTCGTTTCCTCCTGAATAATTTTTTAGAACTCATCCAAGTAACTAAATGGAGTTCCATACTATACAGGTGATTTGATACGCTTTTAAAGTAAACCCTTCGTAAGCAGGCTCAATGGGTTGCAGTTGTATGAAATCGGTAGAATTGAGATGGCATTTGCATGAGAGTACAAGAGGTTGAGGGAGAGCAAAAATTGGAAAGAAATGGTCAATGCTGCGTACACGACCTTAAAACCCAGAGGATCAGAGCAATAAAGACTAAAATATTCAAGAATGTGACTCACCCCGGCACCCCCGTATACATTTTTGTTAGCTTTAAAAACCCTTAATTCGAATGACGCAGAATTGATGTCCAGTGTACATTGAAATATTGATTTGGCGGGGGGTAACTTTTTCCAGTGTGATGTGTCTTGTTGATAAACATATCCTATAAATACCAATATTTCATTCCTTCCTCATGTTTTTGTCTATTCCCCAGATTCCTCTTCAAGCACTGTCGGTGTCGGGGGAGTAAGGCGCCACCCACTCCTCTTCAATGTGTCAGTCCCCCATCACGAACACGTCACTGCAGCCGAGCTCCGTCTCTACACGCTCGTCCAGACTGACCGCCACCTGTTTGCCGGCGTCGACCGCAAAGTCACTATCTACGAAGTGGTACATTATGACGAAGAGGACAACAGCACAGATGAGAATTTTGCGAGAGGAGACAACCTTGGGGGTCAAAAGGCGATAATGGAGCTGGTGGAGTTGGCGTCGAGACAAGTGTATGGCACCGACGATGGCTGGGAAGCGTTCAACCTCACCGCTTCTGTCCAGCGGTGGCGTAAATCTGAGCATGGAACCACACATCGTCTGGAGGTGCACATTGACAGCGTGGCCGGCGAAGACACGCAACGTGTCGCAGACCAAGGCAAAAATGGGAATACTGAAGCGGACATGAAGATTGACACCAACATGAAGGAAAAACACAAGCCCCTGTTTATCGTTTTCTCGAATGATGAAAGCAGCGATCATCGAGATGACAAGCATGACCTGGAAGAGATGATCGACCACGAAACCTCCAACGTAATGCTCCGAAACGACTTGGAGAATGACTTGTGGGGCGAGCTCGAGACGAAGGGCTACGGCAGCAATGGCGAGTCCGAACCGGATGAAGCCGACCTGCTCCAGATGCGCTCGAATCTGATCTACGACACGAGCTCGCGCATCCGTCGCAACGCCAAGGGAAACCACTGCAGGAGACAACCTCTGCACGTGGATTTCAAAGATATCGGATGGGACAGTTGGATCCTGGCACCCGGCAGTTACGACGCCTACGAGTGCGCTGGGATTTGCTCATTCCCGCTAACAAAGCACGTCACGCCCACCAAACACGCCATCGTCCAAACGCTGATCAACATCAACAGTCCTCAGAAAACAGCGCGAGCGTGTTGCGTGCCCACCAAGCTGGATCCCATCTCGCTCCTGTACCTGGACGACACAGGCGTGGTCACGTATAAGCATAAGTATGAAGGGATGGCGGTGGCCGAGTGCGGCTGTAGATAGCTGGACTCTGGAGGAGTGACGTGAAGTCAACAAAAAAGCTAAACGAGTCCGAGAGTGGCATTGGACTCTCAATCAGTAGGACTGGAAGTGCATGTAATCACTTTTTGTTAAGTCCTTGTGTGGCTGGACTTTGTCCATCGAGACAGAAAAGACGATATCTTCTTAGTCGTGAATGGCGGCCGCCGACGCGGTGAGCTCACAGGCAGCGGCGGTCAGGACCGCGCCGCTTTTTGCCAGCGCGACTCAAAGTTACAAGAAGTTCCGAAAGAGGATCTAACCCAGCACATTCTGCTGCGTATGCAATTGTCTGTGGGAACTCGTGGGCCAGAGGTCCCCCCTCCTGCTCCGTCCCCCTGACATGTGTTTTCCTCTCCACTTATCTCCGCCCTCCCCACTTGTTGCTAACACTAATCAGCTCTTCATGCTCCCTGCCACAATGAAATGACCTCCTGGAGGCAACCTGACAAGACTTGAACTCTCCAGGCTCGCCTCCTGCAGGCCCCTGATATGTGGGCACCACCACTGGCGGGGTTATCTATCCCAACCCAGTTTCCCACTTCACATGACTCTTTTCCACTACCAAACCAAACACACACACACACACACACACAAACGCTGCAGTGATAGCATGGTGTTTGAGGTTGGGAAGTATGTACTGATCAAGCTTGGACGTCATTCCAGAGGATGTTTGAGGTGTCCGTATGAGGGATTGAGACAAAACAAAGGGGCAGGGGTTGACCGCATTCCGAGGCAACTCATTATGTTAACCGTCTCACCTTGCTGACCTAGCATGTCCTAGTCCTCATCCATCACTTTGATGCTAAATGGCCTTTCGGGGGGGGGGGGGGGATATTTATCATATGTGAACCAAAAGTCAGGGACGTAAAAAGAAGCAAAGTTGTCTCGATAAAATCCAAAAGAAAAATATGTTTTCTTTTGTTATAAGGCTTTTGATACCTCTGCTGCTTATAATAAACACACGACTATTTATTGTTCTAATTTATTCTTCCTTTTTTTTTTAAGTGAAACAAATATTGATAGTTACATTTTGAGTTAAAGTGACTTATTTTTCTGGGTAGGTATCTTTCAGCTACAAATGAGGCAGGAAAAGTGGCAAAGGGCCAAAGACAAAAGCACTGTTCGAATTATTACCACCGCGGCACCCAAAAAATACCAAATAAAAATAATTACATGTCCTGGCAGTTTCTCAAGAGATCCAAAACCTACATTTCTAATTGCTCTACATTAAGGGGGTCGCACTCATTTTTTGTCACGTGCCACGTCGTAGTTCTGGTTTTCCTCGGAGGGCCATTATGACTGTGAACCAATTTAAATTTATGTCTCACATCATCACATATACACAACAATTTGGTGGATAACCAATTTTTTGAATCCACAAATTTTCAAAGGGTGATGAGTAACAAAATATGCTTGCGATATCTCAATGTTATTAAAAGTGAAGGTAATTTGCAATTTGGGTATTTTAGCAGGCAAATACGAAGGTGACGCACAAGCTTTGCGTTTGTGGGCCACATAAAATGAGGTGGCAGGCCGAATCTGGCCTCGGGGTCTTGAATTTCGCATCTGTGCTCTAGATTATTCAAAAAGGCATTTGGACCCCAGAACAAAATGAATGACAAATTCATTCAAAACATTGAATGCTTCTTTAAAGCCTGTTAACTTGAAGTTAATATGAATTCCTCACGATCTTCATATGGTGCGGTGTCGTTTGGCTATTTACAATTAAGATGAGGCTTGACATTTTGAAATAAAGAGCGCACTGGATGGTTAAGAATCATTTGGCCTGCTTCTTCTCCATTGCTTTCTACATCCATTGGTATCAGCACATAGGTCAGAGTTCACCCCATGGCTTCCAAACAAAAAAGCATGGGAAAGTGATTAGCGGGACTGTTAATGACGAAAATGGATCGTGTGTGTGTGCTGCTCACACTGACACTGTGATGGAAAACCTGTGCATGAGGCTGAGCGCTGATAAATTGTTTTGAATGATGATGACTCCTGCGATTGGCTGGCAACCGGTTCAGGGTGCGACCCTTGTAAGGATAAGCGGATTAGAAAACGGATGGATGCGGTGAATGGATGATGATGACGCTGCTGTCAAATTGTAAAATTCTGATTGCAATATTGTTTCGCTCTTTTCGTGTACCAACGCACAATGAGGTTGTAAATAAAGGATGTGATCCAATTCATTCTCTGAAATACATCGTGTCATCTTTTTGTGGGAGTAACGAATATTTGGCAGATATGGGCATGAGTCAATTGATGAATAGTTTTGATATTCAGAGGTAGAATGCGGCGGCAGCATGCTGGTGTCCTGGATAGCGTGTCTGGATCATATTTGTAGTCCAAATCTCGCACAGAAGAAGGTAAATTGTTTGGCGCAATAAGGAAACATAATCGTTGTGAAAAGACTCAGGCTAATCCCAAAGATACTCCTATACATCAAGTAAGCCTTGCCGGATAGAAAGCTGCCTCACTGAACGGGATAAGTGTCGATAGAGTGACAGACAGCTTGGCAATTGTGTCCAAGCGACTTCAAAAACAAGTTTAACAAGTTTGATTTATTTATTAACAGGGGAGCTTGTTCCTCACTGGTCGCATTGAATGAGGTCATAAACCAATAGTGTCGTTTGTAGGTGAGGGAGTCACGCTGCATGAACAACAAAGCTGCGCAGATTTGTCATTTTAGCCTGCACAGGCCAATAGATAACCATGTACATATATTAATTACCATTAGATGAATTAAATGCACACAAACAGAGGAATCCCTCATTCAATATTAATGCTAATACATATAGGTCATTCCAAACATCGGTGCCACTTGCATCCCCGGGAAATAACATGGAGAAGTGTACAATACAATGGCATGAAATACATTTTTATAAAGTACAAATGTATTGCGGGCAGCACGGTGGGGAACTAGTTAGCACGTCGGCCTCACAGTGCCGAGATTGTGGGTTCAAATCCGGGCTCCGGCCTCCCTGTTTGGAATTTGCATGTTCTGGGTTTTCTCCGGGTACTCCGGTTTCCTCCCACATTCTGAAAACATGTATGGCAGGTTTATGGAACACTCGAAATTGTCCCTAAGTGTGATTGTGAGTGCAAATGGTTGTTTGTCTGTATGTGCCCCGCGATTGGCTGGCAACCAGTTCAGGGTCTACCCCGCCTACTGCCCGAAGACCGATCCTGGATGGATGGCTGTATGCGTTGATGTACCGTATACAAATGGATATGTACATTTCTGTATTCATTTGAGACATTTTGCATGCAAACTCTTTTTTTTTTCATGTCGGTATTGGCAGATCCTGAAAAACCAAAGACTTGGTCTCTGACTCAAGTGCCCAAAAAGTGTGATTGGGACATGTTTAGTGCGAATGGTTGTTTGTCTATAAGTTGCACCACATCAAAGACATCTTGGAAAGGCTCACACTCATCCACGACTCTACAAAAGACAAGTGGTACCAGAAGATGAATTCGTGAATTCACTTAAAAGCAAAAGCAATCTGTTCTTGCAGGGATGCAGGTCAACTTCAGGATTTGCTACTACAGTATTTAGAATCTCTTTTCTCATCGCAAATAATGCAAACTTAAGTAATGTGCTGCCATGCCAGCGTCAAAAGACCGTGATACATGCATAAAAATGAACATGCGGTGAAACAATTACTGTGCGTGCCTGAGAGGTGAGTCACTTCACATTTAATCATTATTTACCAATACGCATTATTTTATGATCATTCATCACAAATTAATGTCTATTGAGGAAGTAACAATGGCCTCTCATCATCGAGTGAGACGTGTGTACTAATGTCATAAAGTGCATCAATTCCCCTTTCAGGCTTTATGGTCATCATAACACTTTTTTTCCCCTTATTTGCTGTCACTTGTGCCCTTTTTTGGTGGCATCGCTAAACAAAATGCAAAAGGTTTTGTGTTGCATTTTAGAGGTGTTTTTTGGTCAACATCTGACCATTTTGTCTTTCAACTTCAACGCTACCTTCTCGATGATCCTGATTCAGGCCATCTGTAAGTATTTATGGGCCATAAACATTCTGTCTTGAAGTTGAACCTTCAAAAGAGTGCTACTGATCATCTCAAGGAATTGCGCTAAAGTGAGACCTGCACAATAAGGAGGTGTTGCAGCTGCAACAAAAAAAAAAAAATTGACTATAAAAATTCCTCTGTAATGTAGAACAGAACACACTGATTTCAAAACACCTTTTGACCCATAACCAACGAAAAGCAGTTCAAAGATGATTGATGTTCAAAGTCTTCTAAGTGGACCTTCCATTCTGATTAGAAATCAAATCATGTTCAAGAGAGCCAAAAACGTGCCCTTAACTTACCAGATTATTGTTTCCAAAGTAAAAAAAAGGCAGCTGTCTCTCCCGGTAACTTAACCGAAATTTACAGTTACTGTCGATGTTTTTCACCTATTGGAAACGTATGTTTCATTATTATAGCGCAGGAAATGAATGAGGTAAAGACGAACTTGCCTGCAGTCCACACCTGGCTCTCATTGAAAACATATGATGAGCTCGCAAGTCAAACTTCTAACAGCACACACTGCAAGAGCTCCAACTGGTGCAAGTAAGAATGGGAAATTCTCCTTTGAAATAAAATCCCTCATCATATACCTTCTTAACTTCGGTATCCTTGACAAAACAAACTTAGTTTTATTGGGATGCGTTATATCATCACGATACGCACTCGCCAATCAAATCCAAGATCTTAATCAAGCAAGTTTGCTTGTACAAAGAAGGGATTCATTAGATGTACTTTGGATTGTACTTTTCGTTGTTGTTCACATTCTTGTAGAAATCCACTGCAATCAGATTAAGAGTGAGACCAGGTGTTTAGTTCTCTAGTGGTTAAAAAACACATTGTTCGACAATGAGTTCGATTTACGCAAGTGTTTTTTTGTATTCATCTGGGAATTGTATCACCATCACAGACTCAAAACAATATGCTAAATGGTAAATGAGCTGTCAAATGCGCTTTTCTACCTCAGGTACTCAAAGCGCTTCACACACTGTTCACCTCATTCACCAGGCGCAACTGGAAGGTCAGTACCTTGCTCAAGGACACTTTGGCACGGTTGCCATGCTGGATGCAGCTGTTTTGCACAAATGAGCTATTGTCTTCCCCCGGACATGACACGTCTTTATGTGTCTTGTATTGTGATGACTCAGCGGGTAATCAATTTTGATCCCATGTCATCACAAGATTTATGTTTTCAGCCCAATTGCGCTGATGTCATCCGCAGCCACTGGGACAACGGCGCAGTGCCAACAGCACATAAAAATCCCAGAAAGCAAAAATTTGTTCCTGACCGCTCAGTAGAATGACAGTGCGGAAGGATCTAAGTAAATATAGTAGCAGAGCAGAAGGGCAAGAACTTTTCACAAGGCAGTCTGAGCTATGTAAAGCTCACTAATTGAATATTTACAGAATGAGGGCGAAATAGAATCTGGCCTTTGTCAGTGAAGCGCCAAGTCTCAGGAAATATGATGAAATGGGAAGTGTTTCGTATTTACTCAAATGATAACAAATCCTGGCTAGTGCTCTGCGCCTTTTCTCCTTCTTGTTTGACATATCTGCAGAAACAATTTCAGCCGGCACTGCATGCTCTCTCCGTGCGGGCTTTCGTGGAGGATTTCAGCCTACGTGATCCATCTAGGTGTGTACCTTACAGCGAGTAAACAAAGGGAGGAGTTCACAATGTACGGACGGTGCCCGGCCTCCCATAATGCTACACTGACATCATAAAGTGGGTGGCAGGCTGTCGACGTGTATCTCGCCTTGAATTTGCGGTGCCGAGCGACACGACTCGCCCTGACTCTGACGTTGGGCCTGTAATGATCGTTTCCGCTTTGGGTCACGTTTTTATCAAGCCATCTCCCGCTAACACCACCACCCAAGCACTCTTCTCTTGCTTTCTCCTCCTTTCCCAAAGCAAACATTGGCTTGCTGGCTGAGCGCGTGGGTCCGTACGACACGTTCAGACATCTTTGAACAATTTATGTTGTGAAATGTTGGAGAGCCTCCTGAACAAGTTAGAAATGGAACACAGATGTTGACGCTGTTATGCAACTTGTGAAACTCGACTCGCTTTTTTTTTTTTTTTTTTTTTTTTTGCATACAGCTATTATTGTCAAAAGGTCACATTAAAGTTGTGGAAAATCCGCCCCCGCAAAAAAAAAAAAAAAAAAGAAACTGGCATGATTCCATTAACCACCTTGAGAAAACAAGACAATTGTTTTGTGATTAAAGTATGTGGATGACGGAGTTTGTGTTGGAAACAAAATAGAAGAATAATAAAATGAACAAAATAAGAAAAAGAAAAAAAAATCTGTGACATGTCAGGTGATTTCTCATCTCTTGCACATATGCTTTTGGTTTCTTAATCTGGTCCCTGCGGGTCCATCTCAAAGCGAACAGAAGACCGTCGGGGCACAAAGGACTCAAACTGTGGCAGAAAACTGGAAATGTGAGCTGGAATCTATGTTCTGCTCCGATGACTTCAAGGGCTTATCAAGTGCATCAGAAAGTGGAAACAGCTGTGGCGGGGGTGTGTGAAAAAACAAAAAGGGAAGGCTTGCTTGAAATAATTAGAGTTTATATCATAAAATGTTCACAGAATTTGGATATTTACATTGCACAATAAACACTCAAAATCAACATTTTACATTTTGGACGATACAAGATGAATGCAAAATATATACAACGGTTCTCACGAAGCATTTGGTAGGTACACTGGCTTGAAAGAGTTGACATTTCTACTTGTGAACTCAACAGAAAAGATGTACCAGATAGACGAGATTTAACACCACTCCTGCTCTTCCATGAACATGTGGATACTTTATATTACAATCACATTTCTGCATTTGATTTTGAACCATGATCGAAGCTGCCAGCAAAGATTGGGCGCGTTGTCAGGACTGATCGGTCAAATGACAGATTCCCCAATGTGCAATTCATTGCAACTGGTGGATGCGCAGATGGACATTTGGAAATCTCACGCCCTAAAAGTGAATGATGAAACTTGAATACACCCTCAGTCCCTCCTGTATGTGCCAAAGAGGTGGTCCCAATGTGTGAAATAGGGCGCAAAGTTAACATTGTGCCGCCGATGATGAATGTGGTGGTGAGGGACTCCGCCGAAAAAAGGCAGCAGTCTGTGCAGAGCCCAGGGCAGGTTGTAGCCACAATGGTCGTCCACCGCCAGCCAGGTGTTGAAAATGTGGAAGAAGACCTCACTGACGGGGTGACAGTTCACCAAGCAGGCACTTATCTGTGCTAGCAGCAGCAGGGAGAGCAACTCGGAGGTGCTGGCGTCCTGGGCCTGCAGGGCGAAGGGTACCTGGTGCTGGTGGTGCTCTTGGTGGACGTTGCGATAGAGCCATGGGATCCTGAAAAGAAGCAAACAAGCAACTGTCTGTCAGATATCACAATTGACTTACGTGTGTGTGTGTGTGTGCGTGTGTGTGTGTGTGTGTGTGTTTTCATGCCAAGTGGCTTAAGTGCTAATGACTTGTTTGACTTCACTTATACCTTGCTTAACCCACGTAATGACTTGACTTGCTTGAAATTTAGTGGACACTGGACTTGACCCCCACCCCCCACCCCCCTAGAGCAACATGGGACTTGCACTAAACTTGAAAGTTAAGACATGAGTCTTACGAACAGCACATATGTGTCTTCCTCCCACCCATGGCTTATCTTCATTAGGGTCATGGCTAACCAGGCAAAAGGTTGGGATATATTCTGGACTGTTGATCAGCCAATCGCAATTCACATTCAGACCGATGGACAATTTAGAGTCTTCCATGAAGCCTAAACTGCATGTTTTCGGAATGTGGGAGCAGGATAGAAACCCAAAACTCACAACTGCAAAGTGTATGTGCTAACCTGACTTGTAAACCATGCTGCTGTTTCATAGTAATAACATTTCAAAATACATGAAAACGAACTAGCGTTGAATCATATGATTTTTGGACATTGTGACAGATGGCTTTCCGCTTTAAACATTGGATTTTTCCCTGATTACAGTATGTGGCGTCAAGTCAACTCATTCCATCATAGAGACGTACTGTACACACGAGGAAAGTAAACAAAGATGAGAAATAACTGTTCCATCAGAAATGGTGTGTGAACTTACACTGTATTTACATTTAATGGATTGCATAGAATAACTTGTTTTATGCTGAGAGGGAAGAAATTTCATCTGTGCTGTATGTTACACATGCGTACAGCACATTTGACAATTAAGTTGTATTCAATTCAATTCAGTTCAATACTGATCACCTTCTTGAATTGAATTGAATACAACTTTATTGTCAAATGTGCTGTACAGCGCAGATGACTTCTCTCTTCTTTGTTGGTCTTATACTCATCTTACAGTCGTGAAACCACTGGGGGGTATTACAATAAAAAAGTTGGACAATAAGCCGTTTGCTTTTCATTCCTGCAGTCCGTTTTTTATTTTTAGTAAATTTTTACTGCTTAGTTGAGTCAGTAAAAAAAATAGCTGTAGACTATTGGCTCCATCGCTTCTTTTGTTCTGTTCTGGTGCTTTTTGTATCTCTATTTGGGTTGCGTAAAAAAAAATCAGGGAAAGAAAAGAGAAAGGCAAAGCCAAAACAATAAAATAAAGTCATGAATCGAGTTCCAGAACCTTGATCAATGAATCACAGGGCGCAATAGCTTTGAGTAACAACAGAAAGACTCAGGGACTTTCCATTTTTTTTCACCATTTGCACTGTGCAACTACAGATCAGGGATGGGAAACTAGTGGCGGCTTACACCCACACTTGGCATGCCCAACGATTTTGAAAATAAAAATGTTTACTGAGGCTGAGCAATTAAAAGTTGTAATAACAGTTCTCAACACTAGATGGCAAAGATTCTGCTCAAAAGCAGCTGCACACACTAAAAGACTGTACTTCGTCATCAGAGAAGAGGAGCAAGCAGGCCCTGGCCAGAAGCCAGAAGCAAATTAAGTAAAGAAAACAGTGTAATTTATGCAAAATAGGAAGCAGATTATATGTTCACGAGATGTAAACACAAACAAATCTGCCTCGTTTGCTTTGGGACACGACAAACCGTGAAAGATTGCAATATGAGTCACCACCACACAGCGATCTCAAAAGTTCACAAACAGCTATTTTTTTACAAGAACCGATCAAAGTTAAATGGAATTACATGAGAAGTCACTAATTGTGTGTCCTCCTAAAACATGGATCGACGCTTAATCGTGTGACAAATACATATGGTGGATTGATTGGACAAGCAGCTGTTGTGGCAGATGGTGCACCCGCCCTGTACTGCAGTACTGAAGATGCATTTTCTTTCGAGGTTCCAGAACGACGTGCCTCCTGTTGCATTTTAAGAGGCTCCAAAGGGCTTGGGGTGGAATCAATTGAACTTTGTGAGCCTCCACTGCATACTTGCTGTGTGCAGGGTTCTGCCACAAGATTTCATAAGTGGCATTAGTGTCAGCCACAAGTTTTGCGGCAATTCAAAATATAAATCACAGTTGCACGATGTGGTGACATTGCAAATTGTAACACATAAAACCCCCCCCACAAAAAAAAGGTTGTTTTACAACAATACTTAACCACATTCACATGTACCAATGGATTAAATAGTGAAGCTTGTGGTAAGAATTTTAGCGAGCGGTGCGCAGCTCAGCAGGTCCACTCAAATGAGTTTGAATAAAGAGCTTGCTCTCATTCACTTGGCTGCCTCTGAATTGCTGGCGGCTCCTTGGCGTCACCTTCCGGTATCTGAAGCCCTCCGGCGGCCGCACCAAGCCGATCTCTCTGAGGCGGGGGCCTTGACTGTTGAGCGAGGGGACCATCGAGGCTGTGGCTAGAGGTCGTCTTCATCGGAGGTGAGGCCACCATAAGGTTTCACGGGAAACACCTCACCCTCCTTTTGGAGGCTCATTCAAGTGACTGGACCAGGCGTGCAGCGTGCTTCGCTCACTAAAATTTTTACCACAACCTTCACTATTTAATCCACAGGTACATATGAAATTGTATATATGGCAAAGTACGGTAAATAAAAAGTTAGGGATATTTGGCTTTCCGGTAAAATTTCAGGATGAGCCCAAAATGCATTCAAACCTTTCCTGGTGAACTTAAAGTGACCTTCTCAACAAGGCTTTTGTATGCTTGTGTCCAACTGATAAATGTTTCAGTACTTTTTGTGCTGGTTGCTGCTCTCAAACGAGGAGCTTAACGGCAAAATTCACAAAAGGTGTTTGATCCTTGAATCGACCAATAAATGTCCTGTTTCAATTACAGCTGGTGTTTAAACAGTCGTCCTCATCATGCTGTTCACATTTTGACATCTTGAAACCAAGATGACACCTCACAATGGATCAACAGTACCTTGCCAATGTGATGCTTCAAACAGGACGTTCTCAGACGGACGTGGCCACTGAGCTTAGAGCGTCACAGAGTGTCATCGGCAGGTTGCAACAGAGGTACAGAGAGACTGGAACAGTCACAGAAAGATGTAGAAGTGGACGCCCTTTGGTCACATCCCATGTTGATGACTGCTAAAGTGTGAACAATGCCCTGAGAAACCGGATTATGAATGCCACTCAACTCCAGGCACGTTTGTGTCACGTCAGATCATTCGAAACCGTTTACATCAGCGTGGTCAAGCGTGCTAGATGACCTTCGAGGTTACTTGACCACAGCGTCATCATTTTACATGGGCCAGGGAGCATTTGTGCTGGCCTCGGTGCTGTTCTCTGATGAAAGTCAATTCAAGTTGAGCAGACATTATGGCCACCACCAATGTTGGAGACATCAAGGGGAGAGCTATGCATCACCCACTGTTGTCACAAGATGAGCTTTTGGTGGTGGTGGTGTTACAGTGTAGACAGGTGTGTCCAGTCGGTACAGAACTGCCCGTCACTTTGTGAATGGGACAGTGACAAGCCCATACTACCGGAATAACATTATAAATCCAGTGATTGTGCCCCGATCTGAACAACACGGGCCTAATTTCATCTTGATGGATGACAATGCTCCAGCTCATTGAGGTTGCACGATCAGGGAACGTCTGTTGCACACTGGTGTACCTCAAATGGAATGGCCTGCAATTTCTCCAGACATGAATCCTATTGAAAACCTCTGGGATCAGCCGAGTTGCCGTGCAAAGACTCAAAATTCTGCACTCCAGGACCTCAATGACCCGAGGGTTGCCCTTCAAGAAGAATGGAATGCCATACCTCATCAGACAAAAAGTCTACTTGTGAATAGCATGAGACGTCTTCATCAAGATGTAATTGATGCTCAAGGGCACATGACATGTTGTTGAGACATTTGCATTTTTTTTGTTGTGGTGTACCCACCAATGTTGTTAACTTTTGTTCCAATGAATAGTTTGAGATGAGCAATGATTCCTTCTACTTAAATCTCCTACTTTCATGATACATCACTGTAGTGTGAACCTTTTACATTTTCCATATATTTCACAAGCCAAACATCCCTAACTTTTTGTTAAGAGTGTGTGTGCTGTGTATGTGTGTGTATATATATACTGTATTTTTATATATATTATATATATATATATATATATATATACATTTTCTATATATATATATATATATATATATATATACATTATGTATATTATATATATATACACATACATTTTATATATATATATATATATATATATATGTGTGTGTGTGTGTGTGTGTGAAGACGCATGTGCACATATTAAAAATTAAATTAGTAACTAGCAAACATTTAAAATGAAAAATAGCTGTTGTCAACTGTGCAGACCAGTTACTCAAAACTCCTCATCAGTTTTTAATCACTGACGCTAAATCTGCCGAAAACGTTGCCGTTATTTTCCACATGGGCTGCCTTACAAACAGCATCCCATATGTAAAAATCCAGCATTTCAAATTTCAGTTACAGATATGCAGATGCTAAGAACAAAAAAAAAAATCAAACAATTTTACGTTTGTTTATATACATAAATCCTGCACTAATCTGTGGCAAGGATGGACGTGAGGACGAACAGACGGTCGGAGTGATTTTGCTCACCTGTGCAGGCAGAGGTGCCAAAAGAAAAAGAGCGCGTCGAAAAGCAGAAAGCAGACAAAAACGTCGGTAAAAAGCCGCCAGCTGCTTGGAGACCATTCGGGGAGTTGAGAGGGTCTCCTCGATATCTGGAGGAGCGCGCTGGCGGGCAGCAAGACGGTCAGGTATTGGACCGCGATTTTCCCCAGACACTTCAACCAAGCGCGCAGAGGCGGCGGCGGCTGCTTCGCGGAGATCTTCCACGCGCGGACCCGCTGACTGACACCGGCCAGGAGGTCCAATAGAAGGAAAGGTGCGCAAAACGTGACGTGGGTCAGGAAAGCGCACAAGACGGGCAGGTAAGGGGAGAGTAGAACACTATCGTGTTCACTCCTCACGTAGTCCCACAGGCTTTGGAGCATCGGCCCACATGACTCTCCACGCTGCGTAAAAGGTGCGCTCATCACGGGCTAGCGTTGTGTATCTAACATCCTTGCCGGTGATCTCCTAATAAGTACTCCGAGTGACTTTCACTTCGAAGTGAACGCAAATGCTTTGTCACAGTAGTCAGCCCATACCACGCCTTCAGTCAAGATCCACGATGAGTATCCCTTTCACGAGTACATTGTGTTTCCTGTTTCTGTTTCCCAACATCAGTTTCCACCAAAAGGTGGGGGATGCTGCGCCCCTTTCCCAACGTATGTTCCAGCCCAAGTCGTTGGAGGTGGGGCACCACATTGCCACATTGTAAAAAGACCCATGAAAGTACAACTCTCGGACAGATGGTTCGAATGTTGTGACTCAAGCAACACATTTGAAAGCAGTTTGAGCATGCCGGTTTTCTTCATGGAGGTACTAGACCTACTTCAAAGATTTAATGCAGTGAAAACCTGATTATCTAAAAATATATTTCTTATGATGAGAATGAATGGTGTCCCTAATTATAGAGCCTTTAAAGGGGAACGCAAATCAGAAAATATTATGGACAATAGTTTGTACTATGCGGCCACGCTAGTCTAAACAAGGTATATTCTCAATAATTGTGCTTGTGGAACATGAATTAAGCCGTAAAATCCACCCGCTTTTACCCAACTCAGGGGTTGGTCATTTTGCCACTTGCTGTCAACTGACAATGACACCACAGTTGCTCAGGTCATGATCAATCACGACTCAGGGCACATATGTCAGGTGACCAAACTCAGAAAACCGGTGAGCTGTGATTATTCAATACCCGAGCCCAGCGCAATTGTGATGTCATTTTCAGTCGACATCAAGTGGCGAAATGCATTTTTAAAAAGATGTTACTTCTACATGAAAAATATGGCTGTCAAGTTCTTGATAGACAATTTATGACATTTTTACTGCTTAAAATTGCAAAAAGTAGTAAAACATCCCTTTACCATTTTTATGTAAATTAATGATACTCATTTATGAGAAGAGATTTTAGATGGCAATGAATTATCACAATAATTAGGAAACATAAATCGGCAGCACCTTTACAACTCTTTCGCAGTGTTCACATTTTAATCACTTCTACACCATTCCTAGAAAATCACAATGTCCCTCGCACCGGTTAATACAGGCCCGCAGGCTACTCATGTGGGTCTTGGGGGATACCTTGCGCCCAAGGGCACCACGTTGGTGACCCCTGAGATAGACCTCACCAGGACAGTAAGAATAGTTTATGCAATTCAGTCGGGACAATACAAAAATTGACCAATCAAATCCACAGGTTTTTAAAAATTTTTATTGTCACAGGATATTTTCATTTGAATTCAGTGTATAAACCTTAGCCTTGCTTTTATCTCCCCATTAAATACAAACGGCAACTTTTTCGACATTTTGGACCACCACCAGAGAACGGAGGCAGTAACATACAGTACAATGAGTTACGACAACAGCAGTTGCAATGGGCCACGCTCCAATTCTCCTTAATTGCTCGTATCTGCTCACTGTGATACCAGATATGCTCTGCAAATGAAATCAGATCAAGTTTTCGGAAATACGACTACTTCAAACATGTCTCATATCATAGGTGATTCTATACCCTCGCCCTGAAGCTTCAGTAAGGTCCATGAGTATTTAGACAATGACAGAGCTTTGGATTTTACATTTAGGTACCATGTTGGATTTGAAGAAATAAAAACAGATTTCACAGAATGCGAGTCTACCTTTAGCTCGAAAATGCAGTTTCTTGAGAAAGCGTGTGTAAATGCTGCATGGGAAAATTGGGAATTTCTCCATTGTGAGACGAATAAAGGTTTTCTTATCTTTTATCTTAAAAATATGGAATGGTGTGGAATGATAAATCAATTCAATAAAATTAAATGGAATGGAATGATTGGTGAAATGTGAAATAATATGCAGGTTGCCGGAAGGTGGAAATGTGCACTTTGGGGACGAAAAACGTTAAATAATATCAAAAGCTATGGAATGATATTGAAAGATGTGGAATGACAAATATTGTGGAAAAATAAAATTTTTGAAATTTGAAAAATAAAATATAACATGGCGTCAAGATTTGGAATATGTTGAAGTTGGAATGGTGAGAATAAATTCAGAATTATGTTAACAGCATTCACACAATTAATCGTAGCCGTTTTATGCGGAGCAAATTCATTTTCAGGGGCTCAATAAAATCTGGACAAGTGACTCACAAGAGGTAAATTGGCCAAGTGCAGCCATTTTCTTGTAACTTTAAAACAATGAAAAGAGCTAAGTCTGCAGCTCATGTCAGGTATTGATTATTATGATCATTCAGCTGTAAGAAGTGCATACAGAGGAAGAAAATAGCTAAAACCTTAATTGTATCAAAATCACCCGTTTGGTGCATAGTTTATTTTATTTTTTTTAAATGGAGCTCTTATCAGCATCAAGAGGCCTTAAAGACCACAGAGGTAGATCACTGAGGTAGATGATTGCAGAATGTCTTCTACAAGTCTACACAACTTCATTAGAAGTCAGGAATACTCTGTAGGAGAATCAAATGATGCCTCTATGAATGGAAGATTGTGAACAACAAGAAGGAAGCCAGATTCAACGTGGCAAGAAAACGTCTCAAAAAGCTTACAATGTTCGGGCCATCAGATTCTTTGGATCGATGTAACCAAGAAAAATGTGTGACAAAATTATGGAAAGAGAAAATATGAAGAAAGAAATGAACAGTTCCTGATCCAAATCCACACTATTTGTCAAAAGTGGGAGAGCCAGTGTTGGGGCGCTGTTATAAAGGTCCATATTGGCTGGTCGGAATGGTCTTACTGGTATTCATTGATCATGTGACTACTAATAGAAGTAACACAAACCATGAGTTGCGTCTCTGCTCACAGTCAGCCAATGCTTCAAACTCACTGATCACAACGCATGCAGAAAATGATGGGAAATGTACTTGGAAAAAAAATCATGATATGGAATATTCTTCCATGATTAAATCTGATTCTGACTGATCTCATCACATTATTTTCACTGACTGAACATGAAAGTGAAGGCAGAGGACAGAGGTGCACCTGCCAAAGTTTCTCAGTTTCTGGTGATGTGCTTGGGATCCAGACTTGACTTGTAGTCAGAGTGTAAATTTGAATAGATTTGAAAAAGAAAAGATTGCTATTTATTTGTGTCACTTTGTCCAAACACTGCAAGTCAACATTTTGTGAGTAGATGGTATCTATAAAACTCGTCATTTTCTTAATACTGTACTTCTGGACAAAATTGTCAAACAAATTTGACAATAGCTCAGATAACACAAAAAGTTCCAAGTATTTAAATATTTGTTGAACTGGAACACACATGGCCTCATATTGAACTTTCACCCTGATCAAAATTTGCAATGTATAAAACGACTATTCACAATAAAACGCGTACCCACAAACACCATTCCATAAACTGAACTCAAGTTTTGAGTTAAAGGCTTTCCAATTCCAAGTCACGCTTCATCATTAAAATATTTTGTTTGGACGGGAACAAACTCTTTATGTCTGCCGGTGCCAGAAGCCTCATGTCCGTCTCGAAAAATGCATCGCTCTGCTCAAACATACTTCAAGTGTCTCAATGATACACAACATATAAAAAGAATGGTGGATGTCGCAATCAATATGAAAGATGAGGTTTACACACAGTGCGCTATACGCACCCGCCGGAAGTGTAAAAAACCCCCAAAAAGAACAAAAGATGCCAGTGATGATGGCCAATTCAAAATGGTTTTACTGTGAAACCAGTAAATGTCAAGTTTGAGTAAGGTCTCAGAGATTAAAAAATGACATGCATCGGTTCGGGTCGACTTCATGATGCATGAGCAATGATCAGTAGATGCTACTCGCTGCGAAATGAGACGGAGAAACTTGACACGCAAAACCAGTGTAATCTCTCTGCTTGAATGAAATTGGTGAAAAAAAAAAATCTACTGCACTTGAAAGTTTGGATTTGCAATATCTTTAGTTGACATGGAACTTGGCTGTATACGTTCCTAAACCCATCACCTAATTTGTCATTTTACAAGAGCATTACAAAACTGTCAAGAAGAAGTAATATTTGTTGGGACCGGGTTAAAAGCCGTGGAAAATATTTTTGTCATATTGCGAGTATTCACAAGTGCTAACTGCAGAGTCATGGAGCTGTGTTCTTTGTTTGCTAAATAAACTGGGTGCACTGAATGTGCAGGAATAAACTTTTTTTACCCCCCTCTACCTCTTAAAAGTTTTGCACCAGCAATGATGCCATGTATGCCCTGAAAGTGCCCTATTCTGATGTTTTACATACTTTTTTTTTTTTTTTTTTTAAGGACCCTGGTCGGCAGCGTGTCTTTGGGCTGGAGGGTAAAATTGCCCGTCACAGTTTTGAGTCATTGCCCTCCAGCATCAAGTCCAACGCCCCCAAACTGGGTTGTCCTCTAGGTCGCGATATACCTTCCTCGCTATTCCACATCCAAGATCTGCTCTCCCGCAAGATCCAGGGCAGCGGTGGCCTTTACTGAGCTGCCAGCGGAGTCCATGAACATGTGGGGTATGTCGTTCCCAAAGTAGATTTTGCTATTGGCGGCGATGGCCTTGTACTTCATCAGCTGCAGATATTCAGGTGTTAACTTCAGCTGCAAGAGAGGAAACGCAATGAAAATGGCAAACCTGAAAACTTGAGTTTGGGTTCCCCCTTGGTGTGGTTTGTTTAGTTAGGTGGGAATTCAGAAACTTTAAAAATAAATAAATAAAATCACCAAGTGACTACAGAGTGGAAAGCCCTGGGAAAAAAACACTTTCTGTTTCTCTGGTTTTTATTGCGGCTGAGTTCTATTAACTACCAAAGCAGGCGTTGGCATGTTTATTTATTCCCCCCCCCCGCAGCTACGCGTCTATTCTTTGAGAGAGTTTTGGCAGGAGACTTGCTCACCTCAAGGTGTGTTATTGTGCGGCTTAGCTTCTTTTTCTCTCACCTTGTTGGCCTCTGCTGCTTTCAGCGCAGTGTAGAACTCGGCATCTGCTCTGGCCCTCTGTCGTGCCAGGAAGGCCTCATCTAAGAAGCGCACCGAATGGAAGTAAGTTGGGAAAGTAGAACGTTGTCTACTTGCTCGAGTTACGTTGCATGCTAGCGGCCATCGAGGAATTCCTCAGCTTGATGACTGTATTCATGTGCCTCCTCATCAAAAGTGGTTTTCTTTATTTTTAATTCAGGCGGATTGCGAAACTAATCACTCTTTCCAAAGAAACTGCACATTTGGCACAGCGGAAAAAGAAGGCTGAGGCGGTGAAAGCCCCAACCTGTATCAGTGACTCGGTGTGAACAATACCCACGACTGTTGAAAGGGCTCACCCACACACATTCGACTGATATTCATCATTACCCTTATCGCAGCTGAGCCGATCCTGCTGGGACTTGCCAAATATATTCCGTCGCACAAACAAATATATCTACATTCCAAATAATTTCGAAACAAAGTCGGAGCCCGGGATACACACCTTCAATTTCTGAGATCTTTTTCTCAGTTTCCTTTTCCATGACTTTTTGTCCAAACTTGATCTCTGCCACTTGGGCCACTTTTTCAGCCTCTGAGAGACAAAAGCATCAAATGTCAGTCTTTTCCGCTGAAATCCTCCATTCGTCACATTATTTGTGCTCAGTGTAATCGCATGCGTACCAATTACAGCTTTGATCCTTTCTGTCTCGGCCTCTTTTTCCACAACCTTCTGCGTCTGCTGGGAGATCAGCAACTTGGTCTTCTCGCTCTCCCTGTGGGGAAATCGCACAACCTTGAACGCCATAGGCTACAAATCCCTCAAGTGCAATTGTGAATTTGTGTCTACCGAGGCCGTCATCCACTAATATCACATAACATGAAATATGAATATTTATAACCCTCATGATAAATGTTGAGCTTAAGCAGGTCGGTCCAAAAGATTTACAGGTGTTTGAGCCAGAAGCATTTCCAAGAATGCCACAACTGATGTGCCTTTCAGTGCTTCTTCCAGTCTCTGTTAAAATTGAGAACATGCTGATAGTGAGCCACTGTTGCCGAATTGCGAAGTTTTCATTTTTGTCTCGCAATATGAAAATGTGACCGGCAGGATGAAGAGGACGAGGGAAATGCCGATTCTAATTGTGCCATAAAATTTATTGGTTGATACAGAAACCAGACACCCGCTGTGACTTTTGTTATTCAGGCCCTGGCGAAAGAACAGCAATTTGTGCAAGCGTACCATAATGTAGAACAGCTGGACAAGCACATTCAAACGTAGAGAAGGTCCAATCAAGTTGACCTGTGCCTTTTAGCTTTATCCAGAAATTTCCTCCAAAAGCCAAATATTCATAACTTTTTGCGAGTAACGTATGTCAACAACTAATCTGGACACTATTGACAGCCCTAAAAATCCTGAAATTGTAGCAAACCGGATTGACAGTGATTGTCCATGTCAACAATGGAAAATGTTGCAGAATTTAAGCAGGCCTGTAACTGCTGTCCCAATTTGAAACGGAAATAGCCAGTAATATTTCCTCACTGTCGTTCTCAGACTGTGCATGTGTTCACTCATCCCGACAACACATGCAAATAGACTTATTGTATGAGGTCATACTTATATTGCGCTTAATTGAACTGTGTACATTGAAATTGAAACATTTATTTTTGTGAATGCAAACACTTTGTTTTTCTTCTTTCTACCCCCCAATTTTGCTGCTGTAGACTGTAAATTTCCCCTGCGTGGGACAAATAAATGATATCTTATCTTATCTTATACTCAAAGCCACGTCACCATTGCCCGATTCCTAAATTCTTGAATGTCAACTTTTTGGTCTGATCCATTCGAATCAAACAAATAATTGAAATTCCTGGTCCAGGTCAGGTTTCTGGCTTTCTGTGTGCTTCCTTGCAGTTGCAGGTGATTTTATTACGGCTTGTTGTACAGGTAAGATGAAAGCCGCACAGCAGACACAGCAATGAATTTTCATAACCTTCAAGGGAAGCATTGCTATATTTGAATTGTGCGGGAACGGTGTTTTATTATCAAACTTTTCAACTTGGTATTCAAATAAAAGTGAACTCCCGTCGACTTCCGGATTACAGAGCAACATCTGATAGCCAGATTGCAAAATTTCAAACACTTCGCTGCATAGCCAGTGCGTGAACAAAGCAATGTACGAATCTATACCACTTTGTTCAAGTTGGTACCTTATACGACGATCACATATCGTTGCGCACTTACAATCAATTGCTAATTTCATAGCATTACAAATAATAATCATCAATACTTTACTATGCAGTCATTGATCGAAATGAGTTGATTATTCATGACAAGCCCCCGGCTGTATAGACAAGCCTTTAACCTCACAAACGCAAAAGCCTGTATTGCATCATCTTCCCAACCCCTTTTGCAAAGATCTCAGCGTCATGAATGATTGAACAAAGAAAGACGACGGCAATGACTAACCCAGTTAATTTATACAGTACGTGGAAATCATCTGCACACATTATTAAACTTAATGGAATGCGCTTGCGGCATCCTTCTGCCGCAAAGCATTACAGTGAATGGGTTGAACAAAACAAACCCACTCCAATGGGGGGGGTCGAGCCAGTGAATGGGTTGAACAAAACAAACCCACTCCAATTGGGGGGGGGAATCGAGATAAGCCTTCTTGCATGTTTTGATTTGTTCACTTTCCAAAGTATTTGCCGTTTTTGCCAAGCAGGTGAACATATGCACACAAAAATAATGCCAGGGCAGATCAATTTTGTTTAGCTGCTTTTCTCTGCTTCCCCAGCTGATGGAAATGACACGGTGATGCGAGAGGAAAATATCTGCTTTGAGAGAATGATATCTAAACCTCAACTGAAAGTTGACACATGCACTGCCGAGAGTTTGTTGAAAGCCACTGCTACTGAACTGTGACAATGTGAAGAGTCCTTACGATGTCAAAACCCCCATCTAGAATGTCAAAAGCTTTATTAAACGTCATGGGAGAGTTGAGTTTGGTGGATGACTTTTTCTTCCAAGAGATAGATTTCACATTCATGTCAAAAGTGCATTGAAGTTATTGAGAATAGACTATTTTTTTACATTTCAAAACCCCACATACACAGGGTAAGAAGCAGTACGATTGGATCAATAACAATTTTCGATAATTACCATAAGAATTAATGGAGGAGCTGACAGTACCTTTAAATACTGGGGACCTAATGTGTCTTTCTTAAGAGATGCACAAATGAAAAAGGAAATGCGATCATCACGAAATGAGTACATTGCTATAATTGACAATGATACCGTCTCTCCTCCAGTGTTATGGGATGCAGGAAAGGCTACATTCATTCATTCATTTTCCGATCCGCTTATCCTCGCAAGGGTCGTGGGGGGATGCTGGAACCTATCCCAGCCATCTTCGGGCAGTAGGCGGGGGACACCCTGAACCGGTTACCAGCCAATCGCATGGCACACACAGACGAACAGCCATCCACGCTCACACTCACACCTAGGGACAAGTTAGAGTGTTCAATCAGCCTGCCATGCATGTTTTTGGAATGTGGGAGGAAACCCGAGTACCTGGAGAAAACCCACGCAGGCCCGGGGAGAACATGCAAACTCCACACAAGGCGGCCCAGCGGTTACTACAGTGGAAAGGTTACAATGAAAGGAAAAATTTTATCTCTGGGATCCCGACTCAAGAAACTGAGGCTAGTTAGACAACTTGAATTGGTGAATGACATTGAACAATTCGAGGAAACACAAGAAATAAAGAAGAGATACTCAAAAAGTTGAAAGAGGCCAGCCTGAAACTGGATGAGATGTTGCTAAAGCTGAGGGGGCCCTGAGGTTTCTAAGTAGAAAATACAACAAAATGGGAAATAAAGTCAGTCGATGGTACAATCGGAAGGAGCAATCTAATCGGAGAGTCCACAAAAACACCCAGAAAACAGATTAGGATACGCCCAAAAGACATATCACAGACATTTGCAAAATATGATGAACTGTTTTAAAGCATGCCTCAAGAATCTCAGAAAGATGATGATAAAAGATTTTGGAATCCCCTGAAAATGACGAGAATAACGAATAAAGGAAGCAACAAAATTAGCAGAGCCAATTAGCAAAGGTGAGATTAAAGAAGCAATAACTACATCAAAAAAAGAAAAATAAAGAAATCACCAGGAACAGATGGCTTTGGAAGGGAATATACATTTTTACAAGTCACCTCGCACACCCTTGTTGTGTAAAGTGTACGATTACGCTTTGAAGTCAGGAGATCTGCCGATCCAGCATAAAGAAGGGAAGGAGCCCCTGCAATGTCCCAGTCATCATCACATAAGTCTCCCGTGTGTTGATTCTAAGATATTGACATCAATCACAGCAGCCAGAATACAAAAATACATAAAGTTCACCGAAGCGGATCAAACAGGATTTATGATGGGGCGCCAGAGAACAAATAATATACGGAGAGTCTTAAATATATAATCAATGGAAGCAAAAGATGCCATCTTTAACGCTTCTCAACCTTGATGCAGAAAAGGAATTTGACGGGGTAGACCAACACTTTCTTATTAAAATTGGGCTTTGGAAAAAGATTTGACTGGATTGAGCTGCTTCACAAAGACCCTCAATCAAAAGTGAGGGTTCAAGGTCACCGATCCTTTTCGCAATGAGTGTCGAACCTCGGGCAGAGGCTATACGGCAAAACGAACCAATACAAGGGATAACAGATAAGGGAGGGGCAGTTCTCAAAATGACACTTTTTTGCAACCGATATTTTCATTCTCATGAAACATCCACTTTAATCTGTGCCGGCACTCATGAAGTGCCTTGATGAATACGGGGCAATCTCGGGATACAAAATGAATGCAAATAAATCTGAGGCGATGATGATTACAGGAAATTGGCCAGTACAATTAAATCCGGAACTTTCATTTCGCTGCTCTCAACAATGATTTCGCCATTTGGGAATTCATTCACCATCCTCTGCAATTGTTCAAGGCCAATTATCTTAACTACACAACCTCTTCCTTTATTTGGCACAGTAGAGACAGTAACCCCCCCCCCCTCCACCCAAAAAAAAAAAAGTTCCCCCTAGACTCTTTTTATTTGTCTTTACCCATAAGAGTACCAGGCTCCTTTTCTAAGACGCTGAATAACTTAATTTCTAAATTCATTTGGCAGAATAAAAGGCCTAGAATACGACTTCACATCTTGACTATGGCAAAGGATCAGGGAGAAGAGGGTTTAACGGACCTAAAACTTTATTATATGCCTGCACGATTGACTGCAATAGTGCCTTGGTTTACTAAAGATGAGTAAACCGGGTGGCTTAAAACAGAGCAAATGCAAGAAAAGGAGACATCATCCGATGTATTGCCTTTTACGGATATTAAATCAGTCAGTCGGATCAAAACTGAGAATGAATGGATGAAACATACTCCTAAAGTGGGGGCAACCGTAAAGAAAAGACTCGGGGGCCCAGAAACAATCTCAACATGTGTGCTGACTATGGGCAACGCAGAACTCCTCCCCGTCATTGTGGGATGCCAGATTCCAAAAATGGGCCATTAGCGGGCTTACCATAATAAACCAGATATTTGAAGGCACAACTAAAACAACAATTTGGACTTGAGTCAAATGATCTATCCAGATACCTCCAAATAAGACACTATCTTATGAGTCATAGAGAGAAAGTGAGAGTCAGCAGAAACCCAAACAAAGTGAAAGAGTACCACATTTCCCGCACTATAAGGCGCTTTGGAGTACAAAGCGCACCTTCAATGAATGGCCTATTTTAAAACAGTTTTCATATATAGGGCGCACCGCATTACAAGGCGCATAGAATAGAAGCTACAATCGTGGCTGCAGTTGCAATATGCATCCACGAGGGAATACAATACAATACAGGTTTATTTATATGGGGCTTTTCCAACCGTTGCAGTAGTAAAAAAAGTGCTTTACAGAACATTTAAAATACCACATCCAAGAAATCAGAATATTGATCCATATATAAGACGTATCGCATTATAAGGCGCATAGAATAGAAGTTACAATTGTGCCTGCAGTTGCATTATGCATCCACTAGATGGAGCGACGCTAAAGGAATACAATCCAGCTTTATTCATATAGAGCTTTCACAAGCGCTGCAGCTGTAACAAAGAACATTTAAAATACTACGTCCAAGAAATCAAAATAGTGATCATTATAGGAGGCGCATCGGATTATAAGGCGCACTGTTGGCTCTTGAGAAAATTGATTGCTTTTAGGTGCTCTTATCGTGCGGAAAATACGGTATTTCATTTCTGTGGTAGAGACAAGGGCTCCAAATAAGAAAAACCTTCCTCAATTATATAAAAGGATTTCTTATGATACTTGACTAAATAAAGTAAATATCCAGGAAAAGTGGGAATTGGGCCCAAATGCTGTCATTCAAGATGAGGTGTGGAGAGAATTTAATTGGAAATGAAAAATGAGGTGTTTTGACAATTCTTTTAAGATTGCTGTTTGTAAGCCCACCCCTGAGTGGTAATTGCTTGAGGAACTGTGGAGGAATTGGTGATTACGTACACATCTTTTGGGACTGTCCAAAAATCGAAACATTCGGGCACCGGTGTGAAACTCAAGGCCCGGGGGCCCGATCTGGCCCGCCACATCGTTTTGTGCGGCCCAGGAGAGCAAATCAAGCATGTCAACTTTTCCATGATGCTTGATAAAGTCTGAACCAACATTTCAAATAGTCAAATGTAATCCATCATTACATAGAGATATTGCAATCATTAACTCCTTACGCACTTATTACATTAAGGTCACCAATGGCTGAACTAACCATTATTCTTGACTTCCGATTTCTAAACTAGTTATCCACCAATTTGTTGTGTGCTGTATATGTAATATGTGGAGATGATCAAACATTTCTACAGTTTCACAAAATTCACAGTCATGATGGCCCACTCGGGGAAACCGTAACTATAATGTGGCCCGCTACAAAAATAAGTTTGACACCCCTGCATTAGGGAAAAGTGTTAAGGTAGAAATTGAAAATATTGTGAAGGTAAATGTTCCTTTGGTTCCTGTGGTTTACTTGCTTGGAGATATTCTATTAATGATTGCCAAGAAAATGCTCTGAACTGGAGGACTGCGACTCCACCGACGGTAAGACAGTGGAGACAGAGACTGAGACAGGTTTTGGAACAGATGACTGCAAGGCTTCGAATTACAATGGATGTTTTTGCTTTTGGATGGAAAAAAAGCGATGCCCTATGTGGCCTCTGTTTATTCTGTTGAAGCAGGAGGATGTGTCAGGGACCATTTGAACTCTGATATCTGTATTTTTGTCATGGTGTGCAACATTTTTTATTCATCTGTGTGAGGGGACTGTTTTGTTTGTTTTGTTTTCTCAGTTGTGGAATGTTATATTTTGTCGATTGTGAAAATTGAAATTAAAAAGTTAAAAAAAAAAAAATCCTCCAAATATCACCAGGAAAAGTTACTAAAATTGTTGCTTGTCACTTTTTGGACAAAGAGGTGTGAGAGGGGTCTGAATACTCAAACATAGCAAGTTACCAAGTTGTCAATGAAGTTGCCTTTCTCGGTGGAGGGCTGGGGCAAGCATTTTACAGTTGCTCTAACAGAGTAACTGTTGGTGATTGCTCAAGTCAAAATAACGTGTTCAGACTCCCATGAACAATGTAGTTAGGTCGCCTGCGGTAGACTTGCGAGCGACAAGAACATCCGTTTAGGAGAGGGTCAAAAACAACACAAACGTCAAGGGTTGGGGGAATGTTCCTTGTTCACAAAGTAAGCAAAAGAAAACTTACATGAGCTCGTAGTTTCTGCGGATACTCTCTGGGATGTTGGGCTTTGTGACACGCACTGCCTATGGAGCACGAATACAAAACCAGACAGAAAAGATGGGTTAGCTCTTCAAGCAAAACGTTGCCCAAAAAGTGTTCACCCCAGTAAGCAAAGTCAGATGTCCATGAATCCAGATGTAGGGGCTCAAGATCCTCAATGTGACAAGATTACTGGCTTGGCAGAAAGCGCAGCAATTGTTATTTCAACCGAATCTAGTTATTTATAGAAAACTTCAGGCCCAGAGTAATAAAACCCAAGGCAAAGTGTAACACTCAGTAATGAAATGTGTGTTTATCTATGGGGTTTTAGGGGGTTTCTTTATTCAAGTCCACCACTTCCCTTCCAAAAAAAAAAAAAAAATGCTGATGACTGATGATCCTGTGGGGATAGTAAAGGACTTTGCAGTGGTTGTAAAAGCTAACTCTAAATACCTTTCGGTTTTTAAGTGACAGTGACGCGAATGCAATGTTGTACGAAGCGGACATGAAACTTGTGAGGGGTTCAAATGATAGTCAAACATTAGTTCCCCGCTAATGGCTCCAATCGCCATGAGATGCCGGATGAACACGTCGCAGGAGCCCGTCGACGAGTCAGTACATCAAAATTTGTGCTTATGCGAAAGTAACCTGTGGTGCAAAAACAGATTGGGCACTGGACCGCTGCCCAAGAGAATTGAGCTCAACTAGCTGATCACAAGGTCCCAACCTTCCAGTAGGTGGTGGAACATTAATTTCAAGCTGCCATTTTGTAGCCCTGATATACAGTATGTGGTGGTAATTCTCAACTCAACTGTATTTATAGAGCACTTTCAAACAGCCATCGCTGCATACAACGTGATGTACATGGAGCAACTAACATATATACAACAATAAAGCAATAAATCATTAAAAAAGATGTTAGAAAGCACCAAACAGTAACACTAAGATCAAATCAGGAAATAAAAATGGAAGTTTATCTATTTCCCTTAAAATGGTCTACCCACGCATGTGAAGAATAAACCTTGCACAGACGTGCCATTATTCTTGAAGTTCATTCATGAGATTGGTGGGTTGGTGAAAAAAAAAGAGCAGCAAACAACAACCTCTGGTGCTCATTTGAGAACTACACTAAAATTTTTTTAGTGTATAGGTAACCAAGTTCCAAAATATTTCACAATCATACTGCAATGCTCTGATGGATGAATACAACCTGACAGGCAAAAAGAATAATTCTAACATAACGTCAGGACACAGCTTCGTGTGTTGATCAGGTTGTCGTGGGGCAACAAGAGATTGTGTTGAAATTAGACTATTATATTTTGAAGCGCACAGGAAGTCAGAATGATTGTATTTCCCAAGGCTTCTGAAGTTCCACAAGCGCCAAGAGACACAATGACGTCATCAAATTGGTGTTCCCTTTCAATACAATAAGCTGCACCAGATCCCGCTTTTATAGCATTGCTCAACTTGTTATATAATAACGGCCTCATTCAATAATCATCAGCGTCCTGCAAAGTAAAACTAATAATGCAAAGTAAAACTATTTATTGTCACTGTACCTGAATGATGAGACCTGGTGCCATGGTTGTTAGATCTTCTTGCAATGTTAGTTTCAGGTTTTCGTCGATTTGGTCTGAAGAGGAGATTGTGGGTGTGCAGGTGAGAATATGACTTCACAAACCAGTACCACAAGCAGCAACAACGTAGACTACCGGTACGTATACCAAAGCGCGGAGCTTTTTTGAGATATCAGACAGCGTTGGCGTAAATGTGCCCATTTCCTCTTTTAACAATAAGGGCCATTTTTGGTGCAGTCATGCTGCTTGTTCTGACATGTTCTATTAAAGCAGGAGTTGTTATTGGGAGTCTTGTCTCTTTTTGTACCTACCAAACAGTCCGATGTAGACCTCCTGCAGGGAGTGAACACTGCAGAACTGGTTGAGTTCGTGATGAACCTTGTTGTATATTAAGGCTTTGTCGTAATCCGCAGTGAAATTCTTCACGATGTCAAACACTGTCGAGGGAAAGCAACATGACATCAAACATGTAACATGCTGACTTTCTGAGGAATCAAAGAGTTGTTTTATTGCTTACCTGCTGAGGGAACAAGGTAGTTCACAACTTCTATGCGATCAAAGTAGATCATCACCCCACCACTGAAAGGAGTTTTAATGACTTTTGAGTGAACCTTTCCTCTGAGAATGATGCCAGTGCATTTTATTGACACAGTTTAATAGCCTCTTGAATACTTGGTGTCATGCAACACTAGTGAAACATCAATTCGATACCATTTACTGTATAACAAAAGAGAACCCCTACCTAGTGCCACAAGGAACATTTTTCACCTCATCTGTCTGCAACGTCGTCTACAGGACAAGAACAATGCATTATTTTCGGACATATCGGCACACATTCAGGAAATTACATCGACCACGTGCCACGTGTAGGGAACCAAGTGGTCCAGCTGTGGACGGAAGTTTACGTACACGATCATGGGCATGAATGGCATTATGTTGCATTTTAATGATTTATTTTTCCCGTCCAAAGTAGAAAGATAATACAACATCATGCCCTTGAGTCGTGTAAATGTAAACTTCTACGATCAAATATGACCAATAATATTGTATGATATGTTTTTTTGTGAATGGAAGAACATTTCAGAAGATGAATTCCCACCCAATGTGTTGATAATACAGTCCAAGACCACTTTGATAAATCTCATCTATGATAGCGTGCTTAAAGGAATAGTCACTGTTTTGCCTGTTATTACAATGTATGAACATTTTATTGGCATTATAAATGTGACCGTGAAATCACTTTTGAGGACGAATGTGTGTGTTGCTACAAAACAACATGGTCACAATAAAACAGAGTAAGGAGTTTAGAACCTGCAGACTACAAGTAAAAGTCAAGTTACTATCAAACATGATCTATTCCATATAACTTGTTATTCCATTTCTGTAACGTCTCAGGACCTCCCATCAATGACACAGTTTGACATCACATTAGATATTCGTCGGCCACAATAAGGAGGCAAATCCTAATCCATAGAAAGCTTGTATGCGTGTTAGTTTATTTCGTGCCATCCATACAGCCTTCAAATCGGAATGCTCAACTCACACACTATCTGCTTTTGCCAATGGAAAAGTGTCAAGAGCGCGTCAAGTTGCAACACGTAGCTAACCTGCAACTCAAAGCGGTTAAACGCAATACCTCTGGGTTGGCAACTTGGTAAAGTGTATCACAGCTGCTAAACCGCAGTTTTCATTCTTGCAACTTTTCCGTCTTAAAAAAAAATTAATAAAGATCACATTTCATAACAGTCTAGTGTACACTAATGAGACAAGGGGGGCAGTGCAATTATAAGACGTTATTTTTATGTGATACAAAAATGGGATTTACACAGACATGACAGCCTATCAAAAATTTTAAATGCATTCCATCTGTCCGTCCATCCACCTATCCTGTTTAGCGCTGCCAAAACTGCGGGGAAAAAAAGTCTGACTTATAGCCCAAAAATACAGTCAGTTTTGCTTGGAATCAGAAGTTTTCATTGACAATTTGAAGTGTTGTTTTTTTTGACTGTGGTACAATACATAATATTTTCGAAGCACACATTTACTTGAATCACCTGAACAGGCTTGTAGGAGGTGATGAATGGAAGCATGAGATGGAAACCAGGTCCACTCGTGGTGGTCAAGAGAGCTCCTCCCCTGTTTTGCAAACACATTCATTTCAGGAATCCTAGCAAGGGATTATAAAACAAACATGTTTTTCAATTGTGATGAACCGGGACAGTGGAACCACAAAAACCCAGTGTCCTTAGTGCTTGAACTATTTTAGACTTTGAAGCAAATTTGCAAGGAAAAATATGTCTCAAAAGGCGGCAAGACACCAGCATCATTTACTACACCTCAGTGCAAGTAAGTACAGTACCTTCCAATAAGTAACGGCTCATAATAAGTAACCCCTCGTTTCTTTTTCAACATTGTTACGGTAAAGTGAGAAGGCCAACTTCAAAGTCAACCTTAAATTACCAAACAAAATATGGACATCAATGCCGAGGCATGCTTTTATTTTGAAGTTGTTCCCAGCCGCATGTTACAGTGTCATGATTGACATGTCACGTGTTCCAGGCTATTGACTGGTTTAATTGCCATCAAAAATTGTTGCTACAGACATCATCGAGACAATGTCGTCCTGAAATCAACTTAAATTGCTAATTAAGGACAATTAAAAAAAAAAAAAAAAAAAAAAAAAAAAGACAATTTCGTTTACATTTTTATTTTATTGCTCCTGTTGCCAGCCCTAAAAAAGGGTATGTGCTTGGTTGGCCTGAAGGTACACATGCATTGCAGGCGAGGAAAGTCTGCAAGTGACACTTTCTTGATTTTCAATTGTAATATTTGTCGAGTGGTTAGCGTATCAACCTCACAGTGCAGAGGTGCAGGGTTTGATTCCGGCTCCGGCCTCCCAGTGTGGAGTTTGCATGTTCTTCCTGTGCCTGCGTTGGTTTTCTCCGGGCACTCTGGTTTCCTCCCGCATTCCAAAAACATGCATGGCAGGCTGATTGAACACTCAATTGTCCCTAGGTGTGAGTGTGAGTGTGGATGGTTGTTGTCTCTGTGTGCCTGCGATTGGCTGGCAACCGATTTGAGGGTGTCCCCCGCTTACTGCCGAAGGACAGCTGGGACAGGCTCCAGCAACCCCGCGACCCTTGTGAGGGTCAAATAACACACTTCAGTTAACCTGCTTTGTTAAAAAGTGATCAGTTGGAATGGCAACTCTATCAGGCTGTGAGCATCAAAGTGTGCAGAGTTATTCTCATCTACTGCCTTTGAATAGTAATCTGACAGCTCTCACCACCTTATATAGAGCACTTGAAGACTGCGAGCGCTGGAGTCACCGCTAAGTGCTGGCCACAGGCGCCGTACAATACAGTGTCAGTGTGATCAAGTTGTTTTTTTTTTTTTAAGTGGTTGAACGATATTTCATTGTGTTGTTGAACTCGGTAGCAAGAGCTTGTGATGGCAAACAGAGTTTGAACTATCCAAACGTACCTTGGCATTGACGTCCGTATATTATTTGGTAAGGTAAGTTTTACTTTCAAGTTGGCCTTTTTACTGGGTTAGCGGCGTGTTACTGTGATATAATTGTTACTGTGGTTAGCTTGAATTTCTCTTGGCAGATTGCATGTAAATGAGTGGGTACCTGAAGCAGAAAAAATGCCTAGAGCATTTTGCGAGGTACCCGGATTATTTGAGGATTTGTTTCCACCATAGTACATAGTATAGTAGCCCGTGATAGGTGCCAGGCGAACTGTGCAAAGTGCAAGCTGAAGCATCTTTATTCAAAAGTCCATCCCTGAAAACTGTCAAAGCCATATTACAGTTGGGCATTTGTAACATGACTTTCCAAAGCCTTACTAAATATGTTTAAGATGTCTTTGGCAAACAGATTTGAAGCAGATGGCTGTTTTACAGATAAGCAGGTTAACTGCTTTGCAGACATAGAACAGCCGAAAGCCCTGCACACTCACCTGTAGTACACTCCTGTGTGACCTTCATCGATCTTGTGCATAGAAGCTAAAAGTGCTGCTCCAGTAAGAGCCACAATAATTGAGAATATGGCACCCCACTGTGCCATCCTGGAAAGCAAAATAGACAAACAGGATGTATTAGTTCATGAATGACTAGCTCAAGTGTGATGTTCAAAATAAGGAGAAAACATAATCAGAGACTCTTCCCCCCCGCCCCCAAAATGGACTTTCTCACCTGCATTCACTCAGCAACACATGAGGCAACTAACAGCTGCACATATACTGGCTCCATGGTGACTGTTTATCTGCACTCAGCTAAGGCTAATCCTGCCATTAGCCGGGACTCAATAACCTTGTCAACCTCAAAGAGGATTGAGCCTCAACTGTGAAAACCCCGGATGATAAAATATATTTGAAAACATACTCTACAATTCAGGGGAATCACTCTGAAGATGCTAATCATGAATTCTGGCTGTGGTGATTGTGCATGTTTGTTTAATGCTCTCTGTTAGTGATTGGTGCCATTAGTCAGTGGTTTTAAAAAAACGGCACATTTTTAAATTTCCACCTGTGTTTGAACAAAAACATCAAAGTCCTGCGTGGCAGCGTTGTCAAATAGAACGCACCACAGCTCGATTTCGTGGCTCCACGTGACCATAGAACTATGCACATAAAAGACCTTTGAAGATAAGATGAACCTGCATCACACAAAGTCTGAGCTCGCACCGTTCTGCCAAAGTGATTTTAACGTGTTCCCACAGGGAAATGACGCGGTTAAACGGGATACACATGAGCGATCAAAGATACAACTAAAAATCTCGAAAACAATTGATGGGATTCGTGTATCCGATCTATAGCAGGAGTTGCGTTCAGTTAAAGTTGATTTACTAAAAATCGCGAATGGCGTTATTTAAATAGACGTTGTTGAGCATCATAGTGAATGTCTGATAGTTATCTTGCGGTTATAGCCTTGTCATTTGCGTCAACATTAGATCAGAATTGTAGCCAAATGCTTATTGAGCTTGACTAGCGCTCCAAGTAGCAAAACAACTCCACAGAGGGTCTTTAAAATGAGTTGACATTGAGATCGCAGTTGCTGCACTTATCGTTACGGTATGCATCTTTCAAGTGCACCTTTCGATGAAGTTCTTACCTTCTGTTTGGCCCAATTCAATGCTAAACACGAGAGGAGGTCACAAACACCAGCTAACATCTTCTTCATATGATTCAACCGTACTATTATGAACGCTACCGGCCTCTAGTGGAAAAAACAAAACATTTACAAATTACATGAATACATTTCACAAATATACGTACCTGTACATATATACAGTACATACATACATATATACATACATACATACATACGAGTTTTTACTTTTAAGATGTTGATTGTTAGTATGTGGACGGAAATGGCTACACTAAATATGGATAATCTAAATACGTCACAATAATATTTGTATAATTAGTGTAAAGTTGGTTGTACGATATTCTTGACAGTCATTTATAATGATTCAATGAAGTGTATGACACAGTTGATATCGACATCTAGCATTGATAGCTATTGCAGTCTCTTTGGTTAAATGATAAGAAAAAACAACTATAGACTAGTCATAATAATAATAATAATAATTTACCATCACTACTATAGTAGTACTGTATACCCGTATAACCGAAATTATCAGAACCTCACAGGTTTACAATGTTTTTTTAGCATACGGAGTAAATGCATTACCTACTAGAAACAGCAGATGGTGACAAAGGCCAGACAATATTGTGTCATGGGGCTCAGCCAAAGGGGTCACACACAACAATGACAAATTTATTGCATTGTGCTTTGCCCAGCCGATGTATTAATTACAAATTTCACTCACATAGTGTTTGCTGTAACACCTGAATCAAATAAGCAACCAAGGGAAGGTTCTGATTTACAGAAAAGAGAGGGCAGTTTTGCCTTGTTTCTATTAAAAAAAGGACTTTATGTATTTATCCCTGCAATCCTTAAGGCCTTGACTTAAAATGGCAATGGCGCCTTACTTTTTGACATTGAGAAATTCACAGAGAAGCAGAGCTAACCCCAAGGTGTGCCCATGGCCCTGTGCTTTGCATTTTAAACAGGTTGGAGAGATTGGGGTAGAGAAAGGGAACAACAGAGCAAGGGAAAAGAAGTTTGTCAGAGTTCATTAAGTATCAAGGGAACATCGGTGGAACTGGCAGCGTAAGCCACGCCGGGGCCCTAGTGCCATTAATCACGAGTGACATGAAACTAAGGGCTGAGGGAGGATGGTGAGAGGGAGGGTGGCTCTGTCAGAGACTGCTAGTGATTATAGCAAAGGGGTACCATGCAGACCAGACCAGGACTGATGAATACTGGAACGTTCAGGAAATCATTGCAAAGATGATGCTCCCAACAATGAGTTGAGAGGTCAAAGAGTAGAGAGGCTTTATCTGCCACAAATGTGTTCATCTATTCCTTTGTTTAAATCATGACCTCGTCCTCATTTATTTTTGTGCTGAGCCTCCGGTTCATAGCCCACAGAAGAGAGCGAGAATATGGCAATTACACAGTGCCGCTCATATATCTAAGGCTGCCTGACAAGTTTCTCCTTGTACCCCCGGAAGCATTGTTGTAGCTCCGCACGCTGCATGCCGCCACCCTGGAAGAAGAAATAAATGGAGGAGAGAAAGAGAGTGGAGAGAACACTGGTGAGTGGAGAAGATGGAGGCCTCTGTTAAGTGCTGTGCTTGAAAGCCAGTCTGGCCTCATTAGCTGTCAGTTGTAACAATACTGAGCTGGCAGCGAAGACTGCTCCCAGTCTCGGTGCCATAAATCACAGGCTGACAAGGCCCTGACAGGGCTGGGAACTTACACACATGCAGGACTTGCTTGCACTCTGGCTCTCTGCTGCTCTCTTTTCTTCCCTCTTTTTCCACCGTGCTCTCTTTCTCTTTCTATTTATCCTCCCACTCCTTTCTCTTTCTTTGTTGGTACTACTCCCCACATTTGCTTTTTATGTCTTTCTTTCTCAGTCTCATTCAGATCATTGCAGCTTGACAGGAGGAAGCTCAGGATGCTGCTTAGTTGAACACACCTAAGCTTGTTTTTTTTTTTTTTTTTTTGTCTGTCCCATATCCTACCGGTATGTAGTTTATATTACTGTTTGATATCTAGTGGCGTGTTGAGTCTTTCGTAGTTAACATCAATGTGATGAAGGTCGACTCAAAGTCAATGATGTCATTTTTTTTCAGCACATTACAGCGACCCCTCACATTTTTTTTTTGTATCATATGGACCGGTTTTACGTAAAGACATCTTTCAATGGACTGGCATAGAAACAAATGCAAACAAATAATTAAAAATACAACTCACCATTACGCTGAATTTAGTTATAATTAGTGAGCCATGCACATGATGAGACGTTGTAGCCAGCCTCCAAAAAAAGTAAGCATTTCACTTTCTCATGTATAGCGTTTAGTCAACCTTTGGTTTTAAAAAATAATGCAGAAGTAATACAGACCAGTTGTCAACTGGTCGAATTTAATGTATAAACCTTAATACAAAACAGTACATGTGTTCTTGCAAAAAAAGCTGCTACACTATTAAAAAACGAGTGTATGGCTGACTTTGAGGCAGAACAAGAACAGCAGTGGTATGAGCATTCCATTTCAAGGTCATAATGAAAAAGATTATTGAAAGATGATTGAAATGCAAAGTGTCTCTGTGGTTTCTGGTTGTGACTGTATGATTTTATTTGCATGTGGAGGAAGTTACGGTCCGTTGGCTTGCCTGAGCAGGAGCTGCTAAAACTGTCTGCCGCCATCCATTATAGCGACGTGTGTTGATGTGTGTGACACAACTGGACCAGAAAGGAAGGAAGCTGAAGAGTGTGGGCCATCAATCATCACACTTTGACACACACACACACACACACACACACACACACACACACACGCACATGCGCACACACACATGCTCACACACGATTGGAGGTTTAGGAATTGAGCAGGAAGCAGGAATGAACCAAACTAGCATGTTTAAAATGTGCCTACATACACATAGGTGTGAGGTGTGTACATATATGATATAAATACTAACAATGAGTTCAGAGCTGGTTGACATGCCTTCAATTTTGCTTTTGGGAGAAATGTGTGGGAACGCCCCTGCCCTCCAGTGCAGCATTTTAGTGGCTTGCCCCGATTGGACCCATCTGGCTCTCACACTCGGGGTCAGCTGAGGTACAACAAATGATGGATTTCATTGGCAAAACTGATTCGAATGGTACCCTACAGTCACGTAAACAAGAATGAAACAATCAGCGTTGGCATTACAATGTAACACTGGTTCCAGATTGTCATGGCTTTAAAATGTTAGCTACGATGCTAATTCAGGACAGAGTGCGGCCTTCCACCCTGTGTTGAAAGGCAAATAGGAGAGCAACATCCACATTGATTATGAAGTTAATCAAACAATACATCATTTAAAATCAACAGCTTCTTTCAACAAGCTAACCTTCACTGTCCTATGGATATGATTAAAACCATTTGTGCATACATGAGGTCTACGAATGGTGTTTAATTACAGTCATATTGCCAACTGACCTGGTGTGTACACTATAATACCAGTACTGTAAGTAAGTATGACTGTTTGCAGATTTGTCTGCATAAGGATTTTCTCCACTATATTTAATGCCAGACATAACTGTAACATTTGCATTGCATCAAGACATATATTCAGTCAATAGAGCTTTAATCATTTATACTGCATACAAGTTCACTACCTTGTACAATAAACTCCTTCAGAAATTATGCGTGAATGCACAAAGCTGGTTAATATATTATGTCTGGGATAGAGGGAACACATTGCCACAAACAGAGACTGCCATCGCAATCTGAAACTGCGTACATACTTTGAAGCTGTATGGGATACACAATATACCTGTATAGTGTTTAACAGATACTCTGTATCGCTGTATAGGTTCTTCCCCGCTATATCGCCGATTTTTAATCCCACTCGTAAATATTCATGCTACGAACATCTCAGACATACAAATATGAATATTATTATTATTATTTTTAATATTTCAACAAATCCAAATTTGGGGCCTGTTTATGCAGGTAAAAATACCAAAATATTACATCACAAGTGACTTTCACGTTGATGGTGACGGCCACTTGGGGGTTTGAAAACTCAAACATCTAGAACTGCTTCAAACAACAAAGTGTCTGCAGGAGAAGTAGCAAAGATTGCATGACTGTCCGTGATAGAGCTTTAATCATTTATACTGCATACAAGTTCACTACCTTGTACAATAAACTCCTTCAGAAATTATGTGTGAATGCACAAAGCTGGTTAATATATTATGTCTGGGATAGAGGGAACACATTGCCACAAACAGAGACTGCCATCGCAATCTGAAACTGCGTACATACTTTGAAGCTGTATGGGATACACAATATACCTGTATAGTGTTTAACAGATACTCTGTATCGCTGTATAGGTTCTTCCCCGCTATATCGCCGATTTTTAATCCCACTCGTAAATATTCATGCTACGAACATCTCAGACATACAAATATGAATATTATTATTATTATTTTTAATATTTCAACAAATCCAAATTTGGGGCCTGTTTATGCAGGTAAAAATACCAAAATATTACATCACAAGTGACTTTCACGTTGATGGTGACGGCCACTTGGGGGTTTGAAAACTCAAACATCTAGAACTGCTTCAAACAACAAAGCGTCTGCAGGAGAAGTAGCAAAGATTGCATGACTGTCCGTGTTTTATGTTACGTGTTGTGTTATATTATTTTGTTATTTAATGTTAACTGTCTATGTTATGTTTATGTTAAGAAACCTGCCTTAGGACTATGGCTGAAAGCATTTATGCTAAGTCCGAGGCATTTACACTCTTTATTCATGTGTTGATTAATGTGCACTGTCCCAATGAAATAAATAAGTTAACAAAAAAAGTAAATAAATAAAAATTTGAAGCCACCTTGCGGAATGGAAAAGCTGACGTGTTTGCATCACATACATTCATCCATCCATCTATTTTCCAATCCGCTTATCCTCACGAGCCCATCCCACCCGCCATTGAGCAGTAGGCAGGGACACCCCGAACTGGTTGCCAGCCAATCACAGGGCACACATAGATGAACAACCATTCACACTCACAGTCACACCGAGGGACAATTTAGAGTGATTCATTAACCTGCCATGCATGTTTTGGGGATGTGG